CCCCGAGGCAGGGACAGATACTATGAGAGGAAGAAGAGATGCTGGGTCACGGTCTGCAGTCAATGCGCGGGGGCGACTCTGATTGGACGCTGCGGCATTGAAGTAGAGTAGTGCTGTCGCTAGGGGAACCAGTTTGGGATAGGGGATGGGGTGTGGGAGTGAGACAAAAAGCAACACGGACAATGAGAACCTGTAGTGTGTAATGACCTCGTCCTCCCAGGTGAAGCATGCGCAAGGAGCTTCTGGTGTCGTTCTCCTTCGCCATTGCGCTTGTGCTGCTGCTGCTTTGGCAGACCCAGACTCCCCGCTCCTCGCTCTACTACAACGATCGGGGTCTGTCGTACAAGGAGAAGGAGGCGATCAGAAAGTCCAAGGTGCCGCTGCCCCTTGACGCCATGACGATGCATCTGTGTCCTCACCAGATCCCAGGAGCTTGCAAGAGCAGCGGCTGGCAAGACTGAGCCTTCGCTCGTGGACACGTTCATGAAGGCTTGGAGGTGCTGCAGCAGACGTTGGGACCGCGGGAAAGGCTGACGAGACGAGCAGGAGGGGGATGGTGGACATGCAGATGGTGTATGACTACAAGATCAGACCATGGGAAGCAGCCCATGGGTTGAAGGGTATCGCACCCCTCCCTCCTCCCTCCGTTCATCCTATCTTCTCTCACCCTCTCCTACTCTTTCCATCCTCCTCCCGCTCTCTCCCCAGGCCGTTACCTAGTCGACCGAACGCCCTCCTCTACCGGATTTGACATGGTCTCTGCTGCACAGACAAGCATGCCCAGCAGCTCAGGGTCGTCATGACTGAGTGCGTTGACTGCGTGTCTCGCTGCCCCGCCTACGTGAGCTTAGCTCTCTTGATTGTGGTGCGAGGGACTGACATGGGCACTGCACAACAGAAGCAACATCCTTTCAAGGCAGACAACTTCGAGCAGTTCCAGGAGAAGGCGATGAAAAGATGTGGTGAGTTTGCAGAGAGGAGTTGGTCTTGTGACACTGACCGGTGGGAAGGAAACTGCTTCGAGGGCGTGAAAGGCCCTTGCCCGGCCAACCGAGACAACCATGGCGTCTTGTGATGGGATAGGACCTGGCGAGCGGTCGAGCGCAGAGAAAGGAGAGGCAGGAGACCAAGGAATGAGGAGGAGAAAGCTTATTCATTTTCAATTTACAGCATGGAAGATCATGTACAACAGTAAAGATAGTAACCAACGTCTCAGTCTTGGTCCTCTACTCTTGCAGCTGCTCTTGCTTTGCGCGTCCCTGCCCCTTCTTCTCCGAGGGTTTCCGCATCCTGAGAACTTTGGTCTGCAGGAACTCCTCGAAGTCAAACTCCTCGGATGCCTCCTGACGTGTCACCATCAAACACCGTGGGGACGATCATAATCATGAGCTACCGAGTTGTTCAGCTCCGCCTGGATCCCGAAAAACTCCCTCGTCACGTTCTCAAACCTCTTCTGCCGTCCCCCAGGTCAGTCCTCCTCTCCTTCACCCCCTCTCGTCCTCCCCCTCTCGTCCTCCTCTGTTCTCAGACCTCCTCCCAGGACGACTTTAAGTCGGAAAGACCTTCCTCCGGGAGGACTTCAGATGGCCAACTGCCCTCCACGTCACGGTTCGTGTCGCTGTCGGAGAAGCAGGTCACCCGAACTCTCGGCATGGGCCGAACTTCTCGTAGTACATGAAAGACGTGTCCGATTGCGAGGTGTCTAGGAGGAACCAGGGTGAAGAGACGAGGAGCAGCAGCAGCAGGGCAGGGGGGAAGGGGCAGGATGGCGCAGGACGAGACTCACCGTAGTGATGCTTGTGATTGACATCCTTCTTCCTGATGATCTGTCATGTCGCGTCATGACCACCAGCCTTCGCATCCTCGCAGGGCAGACATAATTGAGATGATTGATCATCAGGTTGGTGCAGAAATGAGCGGCGAGTGGGTCGACGTGCCTCGCCTGGCAGCAACTTTCAGCTGAGCAATGCTGAGGGTCTCGGCGGCACCTGCTCGATGTAGGGGTATGCTGCTGAGGCGTTGGGGAAGAAAGTGAGAAGCGTGGCAAGGTTGCAGGTAGCAGGGAGGCTTGTCGGGTCGATCTGAGAGGAGCGTGAGGGAGAGGGAGTTCGGACTAGGAGGAGGAGCACTTTGTAGGCAGCCTCGTAGCTTTCACGCGCCCTCGTCAGGTTCTCTATCATCCGAGGGTCTGTGATCTCCCTCAGCTCCAGGCTCGGATCTGCGAGCGTATCAAACCCTCCCCCTCCTCCAGTCTCGAGACACAGTTCTCTCTCATGGTCTCCGACGACATGGGAGGGTCCCAGCTCGCAGACGAGGACAGGAGGTGCGAGCTGCAAGCAGCAGCGTCACCCCACCCGCGAACCTCAGCTCCCCGACACGCTCACGAGGTTGTAGCGGACTCGTTCGACGACGAGTCGTCGGAGGACTCAATCTCTTCCCTCAGTCTCCTCCCTCGCGCCCTCGTCAACTCCGACGCTGCGGGCCCGTCATCCCCTCCCGGTCGCACTTGTGATTCTCACAGTTGAAAGCTGCTGTCGTCATGGGGTCTCGGGTGAGGAAACTTTCCGAGGAGGCGTCAGGGTCGTTCTGCAGGTTCAGGTGAGGGAGAGGCGGAACGCGCTGGCGTTTGCATGACTCACGGCCCAGACCCCATGCTCCGAGAGCTCATCCTCCTCTATCTTCTTGTACTTGAGCGTGAGCCCTGCGATCAGGCTCCCGCGGATGATCAGGGCCGGCACACAATTCTTCGGTGACGTCAGCATGGTTCAACAGCAGAAGCTCGCATCCAACCGGCGCCCGACGCAGGACCTCGTTGAGGAGCGCCTCGACCTGCAAGGCATGTCGCGGTCAAGAGTCGGGCGATATCGTGGGTAAGGGCTCGCCCAGCACCTGTGCAAAGTCTTTCTTCTTGTACAATGCAAAAATCTGGTCCTTGAGACCCGAGATGTACTCCTCCTCCTCCTTCGAGGCGTCTGAAGGGACCCAGTTCTCCCAGAAAGCCTGGAACCTGCCGCTCAACCAACAGCAGGGCCTTAGGAGACGGGACCTCGATGAAGGAGAAGCAGTAGATCTTGTAAGGGATGTTCAGCTTCTCTATCCTTGGATCTGACAAGATGATGAGACGAGTACGAGCTCAAGTCAAAGGCATACCGACAACCCCCACCTTCTCCCTGTACATCTCTGCCCTCAGATTCCTCGTCTTCCACGCTTCCAGGTTTTCAGGGAGGAAGTTTGGAACCAGATCCTCGTCATCCTCCTCCTCCCTTCCTCTCCACCCTCCTTCCCTTTCGATCGAGCTCCTCCTGTCTGGCACGCGAAGGCTGCTCAGCAATGTTCAGGTACCAACGAGCTCGGCACGACCTCTCTCGTTCTCATCGAACAGGTCGAATGTCAAGTTCCTGACTTCCAGAAATTGCTCGTAGTGCCTGTCCATCTCCTCGGGGGGGCACTGCTCGTATTTGGCCGCAGCCTTCTTCATCGACGAGTGGGTCTCGTACCAGATCCTGCGCCCAAACTCTCAGCTCAACCAACTACCAGCTCCAGCTCACCGATCCATGATCTGCCGGCATTGCTGCGAGGGCAGGGCCGTCTTGAGTCGCTCTGCGGCATCGGCCTCAGTGGCATCCACCTCATGGCCCAGAGCCCTACTCGATCGCTCCAGCTCGAGTTTGGAGATGTTGTGTATGTAGTCGTCGATCAACCTCTTGATGTACCGCGCTGAATCCTTCTTGAAGAAGAGATCCTGCTTGATGAGATCCGTGTCGTACCTCTCTGCTAGGTCTGCAGGTGACCGTCAGACTGGCGCGAGCAGAAATAGGGATGGACCTGGTGGCAGCCTCTCAAAACCCTGCTCCCTGCGCATGCCACCCGTCAGCTCCAACACCATCTTCCTCCTCCTGGAGAGGCATATACCATCGTTCCAATATAGGATCTCTCCCCTTCCTTGGAAATCTGTCTGAGATTCGAAGCTCCCGGTTCGCAAACCTCTCCTCCCCCCAGCTCTCCCCCGGCTCTTCGTCATACTCTCGGCTGTCCCTGAGAGCCATGCTGGGGGGACCCCGCGACGAGCCCGTCGAGTCCCCGAAGCTGTTGGAGAGTGTTCGCACACACAAGGAGAGCAACAGGATAGAGGTACGGAGCGATGGAGGTGAGCGCCATGGGATATGCTTGTGGTCGACCATCGACCGTCGCCCTACCTCGTCCGACTTGCACTGGCCGTCCCTCGCCCCCTCTCTTCACCTCTCAACTGATCTTTCCCTGTCCTCACATCCTTCACTCACTCCCCTCTCCCTTCCTCTCTCCCCATCTCTCCTTCCATTGCGACTACTGACCAGCATTCTGTTGCTGAAGCCTAAAAGTTTGCCGCCCGGGGCCCGGGTCACGCGGCCGGAGTTGCCATGGCCCGGGCCGGCCGCCACTAGTAGCCTGAAGCCTGAGCCTCCGGCCGCCGTGTCAGTGATCGGCGCGGCGGCCCGGGGGGGGCCGGACACTGTGGCATCCGGTCACTGACGGCGCACCGTGTGCCGCGTTGAGGCGGCGGCCGCGCTGTCACGGCGCGGCACAAGGTTTGAGTACTAAGTGTCATTTTGGCAACAAGGTTTCAGTGTCGGAATGTTCACCAAAGATAATTGAAACTCTCAGGCCAGCCTGACTGATCACAACAGGGGTGACCGTGAATGATACAAGGATTTGTAAACAATAACATCTGCGGCTAAGCATTGCTATTTACTGCCAAGCAGATACTTTGAATCTCCAAGATCAGGGGTTCATGTAAAAGGGAAGGTAGTACATCTTGAAAGTCCGACAATGTTTTCATTAGAGGACATGTTAGCTCCATTTCTTCTGGTCTCGATACCTCTCAAAGCAGCTGATCGTTTGCGGCTTATGCGTCAACCCCAGCAAACTTGGTCCAGCCTCGGAATATGTTTCTTTGTTACAGTGTTGTCACAGAGTGCTGCTGTCCGGGGCCAGCCTCCGGCGGAATATGTTTGTTTTTGTTTGTCAGCCCACTTGATGGCATTGATGTGCTCAACGATGACACGTCCGCCAGCATACAATTCTTCACAATGCTGGCAAAAACTTTGTGAACTTGTTTGTTGTTTTCAATTGCCATCCTTAAGTGATGCTGTAGTCGTTCACCCCTGAAAAATCCTCGGCAGAAGGATTGAAAGTTGAAAATTCTGGGGGAACCTTTGGGCCGTGTATATGTCATGTATGCCAGTGCACAGAAAAACAATTCATCCCTTGTCTCCTCGCAACCTTCCTGAATATTCAAGATATCTTGTGCAGTCGTCTTGAACTGGTCAAAGTATGGTTTGATCTCCTCCACCAATTTGTTCAATTGCTCATTCGTGAGCGTAGCCGCACTGTCAAATTTAATCTCAGATTCTTTCGAGCCAGGTATCCGGGTAAACTTGGCCAGTGAGGTTTTGGATGTCAGTTTCTTGATTGCCGCGTTCAACTCCTTCACTTCTTTATCATGCTGTCTTTGTCTTTGCTTGAGCTGCATGCACTGTTCATTTAGAACTTTCAACTGTTCCTTCAGTTTTGCATGTTCTTCCATGCAGTGAGATGACAGTGTCAACGTTTTGCCTAGACTTGATCGACTCCAGAACTTATCTTTGTTTGTGCCCATTTCATGTAACAACCTTTTCACATCGGGACAGTTCTGCGATGTGTCGAAATAACCTTCGTATGCAGCCATGGTCTCGAGAGTTTGGTATGCTGGGCGGCTTACTCGCACGTCTACGTACTCCTCGATACCGGTTTGTAATATTGGTCGGGCACTTGCCAAAATCCTCACCCGGTCATGAATCTCGTACAAGTTACCGAAAGCTGCGAATCTTTCGAACCTGCATCAAGAACACGTCATTTGGATCTCTTCCCGTGATGATCCCGAAGAAAACAAAACAGATAAATGCTCACCATGACTTGTCTTGCTCTGTCAAACGCTGCACATCCTCATATCTGTACGGCTTCGCAGAGTTCACAGGGGTTAAAGTAATCTTTCTGCGAGGCTCTTCCATGATCGGCATCTTTACTTCCATGATCACTTTGTAGGGCGGCGCCGCCGACTCGAGCCTGCCAGTGACTGAGCGGGGCCCGGCCGGGCCTCTACCCGGCGGGCCCGTCAGGCTGATGGACCCCTACCCCCTCCCTCCACCGGCTGAAAAGTCCGACAGACAATAGGAGGGGTGACGGTACAGTTATTGCTCGCTCTAGGACTCGCCGGGACCCCACCCCCGGCGCCACATGAGTACCCCCGAACTTCCCACGGGTGCACCGTCGCCGAATCTTCGGGCATCACCCGCAACCTGTGGTACCCTGTACTTGTCCCAGAAAATCGACGGACACTACCCGGTCCTTGACTGACTACCCACCGGTGACGGCTGCTAGCAAGACCACCCCACCCCATCTGGGGAGTACTAGAGGTGCTGGAAGTTGACTGGGTGACTTGACTCCGTGGATTCCGAATGGCGAATGGAGGACTACCCCTACCCCCTCCTATAGTCCGGAAGGTGAGCCAAGTCTGCACCCCCACCCTCCCAGACATCAGGTAATGGACTTCTGGAAAGGGGTGGGGCGGTTGATGATCCGCATACTACCCCACCCCACCTCAAGTTGTGACTTTTTTTTTCCCGATTTTGCTCTCCCAAAACCCTGACCGACGATGGCGGAAGCGGTGGAGGTGCTGGCGAACCGCGCGAAGATGGTGCGGATAGGCCGGAAGGACGAGCATGGCGGGAACCATTATGCAGGTGGAAACAGCTTCAGCTCCTCCAAGGCTGGGAGTGCCTTCTCGAGGATCAGTAGCGGCCATGAGAGCACGACTATGATACCCGCAGCGGACGAGCACGGAGTGATCATCGAAGGGATCCTACAGAAGAAGATCATCAGGTGATGTGACGAGCACGCGTTGATGTATCCCTGCCCCTGCATGCTCCGCTTGCTCATCGCCCTTGACTCGGCTCTCTGCCAGATCCACCGTGTCTTGGCAGCCACAGAGAGTAAGGCTGTCGAGTACAGACATGGTGTTCTCAGACATCAAGACGGACGAGGTTCTGGACAGCATCTTCCTACACGAGATCGATCATGTCCTGAAAGCTGTAGACAGCGAGGAGGATCTCAAACCCAAGAACACCGGCAGCATGCTATTGATGGAGACGCGCGAGGATGAGATCATAGATAGTGACGACGACTCGAGGACCTTTGTCATCAAGACTTCAGCCGAGGGGCACAACCTGGGGAGAGTTTACTCGTACCGGACGTCTTCCGATCCAGAGTTCACCAACTGGTTGAAGTCGATCAAGAGTGCAGTCAAGCACGCGAAGCAGGAACATGAGAAGAAAGTTCTAATAGCGGAGATCGGAGACAGTAAGGTTGCACTGTTCCGCGCCCGGTTGAAGAGGCTCTACCAATCGAACCGCTATCAGTTGTGCCTTGCCATATGCATCTTGTTCTCCTACAGCATGGACGTCGTCGAAGCCGAGATCAACCCCGAGAGCGGCTCGTATATGGACAGAGCTCTCAGCCTTACTGACACAGTCACCTCAACCTTCTTCTGCTTCGAGGTCAGCCGACGGGAAGAGGTCGAGGGGCTTCTGACTCCCTTCACTTTACTCTCTGGCAGCTTGCCATCAACATGTTTGCCAAGAGCGCCAACAGATTCAAAGAGTTCTACTCCGATCCTTGGAACATTCTGGTACTGCCGGGGATGGTGTTGTTAACCTCCGCGCCGCCTGACCTCCTGCCCTCTTGCAAGGATTTCTTCGTTGTGACTACCTCCATGCTCACTGCCCTCATGCCGCTCGCCATGTCCTCGTTGCGAGTCCTGCGTCTCATAAGGTTGGTGGAAGACAAGGCAGGAGCCCCAATTCCTGTTCCTCTGCTCCTCCTCCTCCCCCTCCTCGCGCTCGTTCCATTCGTCCCCTTCGCTCTCTCTCCTTCTCTTGATTTCTGTCTGCTCACAGGATTTTCCGCGTCCTCAAGCTGGTGAGGAAGATGAAGTCTCTTCAGAGGATCATCGCTGCTCTTGTACCTACCTCATCTTGCTCTTCCACCCCCTCGCTCATCCTCCTGGACAGGGGTCGTCTGTCCTGCCTGTGGTCAACAGTTTCATCCTCCTCTTCCTTGTCACCTCCGTCTATGCGATGCTGGCGACTCATCTCTTCCGAGATCGTTCGGAGGAATTCTTTGGCAACTTCTCTGCTTCCCTCTTCACGTATTGTTGCACGAACATCTTACTCCTCCTCCTCCTCCTCCTACTACTACTACTACTACTACTACTACTACTCGTATTCCCCTTTCCTTCTAACTCCTCCTCCTCCTCGTCCTCACTGGCCTGCAGGATGTTCGAAGTTGTCACCACAGACGCCTGGGCCTCGATGATCACTCGCTCGCTCTTCGGCCCGCAGGGTCAGGTGGACAGGGCAGTTGCCTTCTTCTTCATCTCCTACGTCCTCCTTGCAGGGTGAGGGACCCTGAGAGAGGGTCGGGCAGACCTGACGAGCTTGCGCTGCAGTCTGGTGCTGACCAACATCGTGGTGGCCGTGCTGCTCGACGAGTTTATCGCATATGTCTCAAGGGAGAAGGAGCAGATTGAGAGCCAGAAGGAGCAGGAGAGGGAGGCGGAGTGGATGGAAAAGAAAGTGACGGGGGTCCTGGACCCGCTCACTCACTCGCTGGCGCATTTCAATGACAATGAAGACCTGACGACGAAGATCAGAACGACTTTCGACCGCCTCGACGTGGACAAGTCGGGGGGGCTTACGTTCGAGGAGTTCAAGACGAGGGTGAGAGAGCTGCCGACAGCTTCTCCTGTCCATCTCAACAAGGACGACTTCGACATCATCACTGAGCAGGGTGAGTTGACGGGGAATGGAATGAGATGAGATGAGATGAGATGGGATGAGATGAGATGGGATGAGATGAGATGGGATGAGATGGGATGAGATGGGATGAGATGGGAAGGGATGCGATGGGAAGGGAAGGGAAGGGAAGGGATGCGATGCGATGAGAAGGGAAGGGAAGGGATGGGATGGGATGAGGAGGTGGAAAGAGCACTGCGAGCACAGGCAAGCCTCAGATATCTGAGATGGGATGTTAGTTTCGATCTCTTGTCAGCCCTGACCACTTCCTGTCAGGGGCCCTATGCAACGAGGACGGAGAATTTAGTGCGCAGCAGTTCCAGCACATGATGAGGGGGGAGATGAAAAACTTTGCGCAGCGACAGATGGCGAGCTCGATGGAGTGGACGCAGAGCAGAGAGCTGAGGTCGATCATGCTCATGCTCAAGATCCTGGGGATCTCCATCGACACGATCGCCAAGCAGACACGAGATACGCACACGAAGCAGGACAACCACCAGCAGGACAGCCTCGCGCTTGTGCTGAAGAAACTTGAGGGGATAGAGAGGGCCCTGCAGGAGGAGCAGGAGAAGAGGAGGAGGGTCACTTCTGCTGTTAAGAGCATCCACACCGACATCAGGACCCTCTGCGCGCATTTCTCCCTCGACAACTCGAGGACGAGACCGCAGGAGCAGGAGGGGGAGATGAGGAACTCGGTCCCTCCCCAGGAGGCAGCAGAGAGCAGGAAGTCGCCGCTCGCGCAGGACGACGAGCTCCTGAAAAACTTCGGCCGTGTCTTCGAGCACTTCGAGGAGATGGAGGAGAACTTGGTGAGCATCTCGAACCGCGTCGACAGCTTCCGCATGCTGGAGCAGCGGCTCGCCCTCCTCGAGAAGTTCGCGGCTTCTTCCATCTCCTCCCCCAGCTCCCAGGTTCCTCCCCCAGATTGGGGTAGCCCTGCTCCTCGACCCTCGCCCCCTGCAAACGGCCCTGGTCGTGCAGGAGCGGGAGGGAGACAGCGATCGGTCTCCCTGCGCGCCTCCTCAACTGACAGGTCATACAGCTCGCTGCTCTCGTTGGGCGACAAGTCGGACACAGTCATGATCAAGCGCGAGTTCGTGTCACAGCATCTCGTGCCAGCCAGTCTGACGAAGAAGCAGCTGCAGGAGCTGCAAGTCTCGTTTGCTCCCTCCCGCAAGGTTCCCTGAGCCTGTAGACAGGGGGGAGGTTGGGGGGATGAAGCAGAGTATAGAGAGAAGGCGGAGGAAGGGGGAAGACAGGAAGGAGAAGAGAGAGGAGGTATGGGGAGGGAATGCGGAAGGGAGTAAGGATGAATTAGTTCATTAATAAATTGATACATCAATCATCAGCTCTCCAAATCTTATCTCACTGACGGGTAAATAACTTGTTTCTCCTCCTCCCTCCTCTCCTACTCCTGGAACTGCGCGGGAGGCCATCGGGCAAGCACCGACGGGCTCGCCCTCTTGACCTTGGGTACCCCTGGGAGCGGACCAGCCGCGATCGCGCGATGCTGTTGATGACGTCAGCACGAGGAGGAGGAGAAAGGAAGGCAACAAGAGGAGAACAGGACTCTGACCTCATGCTCTGGGCGCATCGGCGGCTTTGACATCCTGTTCAGCTCGTTGATGCGAGCGAACGCGTTGATCTGACCCGCCACTCCTCCCAAAGGCCCGTTGGCACTGTTGTGCAGCGACTCCGAGGAGATGGACTTGGTGTGCATGTCGTGCGACGGGGGTCGCGAGTTGAGGGGAGCGGTCATCGGGGAGGCAGGAGAGGAGGGGATCCCTCCGAGGATGCCAGGAGAGGGCTCTCGGCTCGACTGCAGCATGGGGGCAGGATAGTTCTCCTTCCCTTCCTCCGGGCAGTCGAACATCGGCTCGTCTCCTCCCTTCCCTGCTGGCAGCTGGTGGATAGGCTCTGCTGCCCCCCCGTCTGCAGGAGCAGGGCGCAGGCTGGCAGGCAGCAGGTCGTCGAAGTGCATGTTGAGCTTGCGGCGGCGGTCGATCTCGTTGTTACGGGTGATCATCTTGTTGAGGGCGAAGCTCTTGCGAGACTCCAGTCTCCAGTTGATCTGCAGACGCTGTCAGAGACGAGGGGGATCCGGCAGAGGAGGGGGCAGATCAAAACAGGAGAAATGAAGGATGATGGGAGGGAGGGGCTGGAGGAGGTGAAATTTTCTTGACGCGCGGGGAGAGAGACTGCGTGGAGGGACCCCGGGACCGCCCGCGGGGGAAGAGGACAAACATTTTTGGGGAGAGGGAAGAGCGGGAGGAAGGGGCTGGAGCAAGTTTATCGTCCTCACCTTGAGCAGCGTGATGTTGTGCTGAAACATCTCCAAGAAGTCATCGAGAGTCTTGTCGCCCCATCCTGACATCATCCTCAGTCCAACTTCTCCAACGTCAAGGGGGAGGTCAGCGCCATGACTCACTTGTCTTTCCTTGACTCATCAGATCGATGGATAACAGACTTCTGTTGCGACTGAGTCCTTTGGCCTTCACAGCAATCGTAAATACGGTTGAAAACCCCACCATCAAGCTTCCATACCAACGCAGAGCCTCCGTCATTGTTTATGTGGTTCTTCTGCAGATCGAGATGTTGTATACATGTGTTGCTCATTAGGCTCTCGGCAAGGATTTCTGCTTCTTTGTCTCCAATACTGCAATTCTCAAGCTTGAGCTCCTTGACCTGCCACAAACATAACCATCGCGATGAGTTCCAAGCGAAGAGATGTCGCTACATGCTTGTTGTTCTTCAAAGCAGAGGCAAGTTGATGGGCGTATTCCTCGGGCTTGCACTGGAGATCCAATTAATGCGGAAGAAAAATGACACAGGCTTCAATCTTAAGCCCTTAGTCTCTTAATCTCAACTAACAATTCAACTCGTGTCTCCACTCACATTCTCCCATTCCTCTCTTTCTTTCCCCTCGTCACTCTCATCTCCGTCCCTACCTCTTATCCCCTCTTCCTCTATCCACATTTCCACCACAAGTCCCTCCCCACCTTCAACCTCCCCCCCCCCTCTCTCTCTGTCTCTCTGCCCCAACTCTCCTCCCAGCTCATCCATTCCATTCCCCACATCCTCTCAGAAGCCACCTGGAAGGCTGCTGCATTGCTCAGGTCAACGTGGACGAGGCTGGGATCGTTAGCAGAGATCTGCCCAGAGCGTCAACGGGGCACGTCCAACAGGAGGAGGAGAAGAGCCGCATCAACCTGCTTGATCGTGTCCGCAACGGAGGGCCCCCGAGTGACCCCCCAGTTTCTTTTCACTCCTTGCGTCTTGATTGGCGTGCCAACACTCGCAGCCTGAGCTGCCTGTTCGAACAACTGCAGGCTCGAAGTCACATGGCAGCTGAGGTGCGAACATGCTCCCAACCTTCATTCGTTCTGCCAATGACATGTACTCGTGGTTTGCTTCAGCACGGTTTCGCTACCACCCCTGACCAACACCGGCCTCTGACACCTTAGGCAATCTTATTCTGCCGAGAAACAGAGTGAGACAAGCGAAAGAACGTGCAATGGCAACGAGCAGTCAATACGTGATCAACTTACATCTCCCCACAAAAAACATGCGTGTTGCCTTCGCCAGAGACCAAGGTGCCAGGTTCCTCCAACTGAAACATTCCACATCAATGTGTGTGAACATTCGACACCATCATGATAAATGTCTCTGCTTATTATGGTAAGTCTGATTTCTGCCTACAGAACTTCCTCCTTCGCTCGCTGAAGACATTAGATCACAATTAGAGCACACACGTGCTCACTTCCGAACTGAGCAAGTGTCCTGGTTTCTTTTCACCTTCCATCTCTCGATCTTTGGTTGAATCTGCTTCTCTTATTCTATTGTGGGTTTAATAATTGCCATAAATTTCCTCCCTCTCTCATCCTTCTGCATAACTCCTTCAAGTGCTGCTCCTACCTCTCCATTGCAAGGAACACACATCTCGTGTACATGAACCCCCGCATTTCTCTGGTAAATCTCTGCATAACAAGCAGCATTCGCCCTCGATTCACCCACGTAAATGTTTCGTAAAATACGATGTCTACTCCACAGCGACTTTCTATTTTGCTTTTGAAAAGCAAGGACCGCGTCGCATCAACGAGTACGAAGGTTGTTTTCATCTCCCCATTTCTCGAGCTCTCATGTGCATTCCTAAGTTTTTCAGTCTCAAACCTTCAGCACACCGAGAGATAGTCTTTCCATTTCTCTCTTCATACTATCTATCGCACTCCCTACTCCTTCCCGACGCTCTTCACCATTTCCGAACGCTCGCTCCCGTTTCCCCATGTTCAATCGCCGGTCTCCACAACTGCAACCCTACCCCCCTACCCCCTACCCTCTCCTGGTAACTCCCCGCCCCTCCTTTTCCGAATGTACCCCTACATGAACTAACCATCACCCCCAAGATGATAAGGATCTACCCACCCATAATGGTATCTCACTGGTTCACCACCCCCCTGTTTTCCATGTAAACACCCACCAGTACTCTCCACCCTACCACCAAATGAGCCGTTTCTTGGAACCCCCACCATCCAATTGCCCATAGACTACCCCCTTAAATCTCCATTCAGATACAGAGGTCCTCCGTGCACCCAGTGAATCGTCACCACCCCCTCGCTGGAGTTGTTATCGGTGTCCTTTTACCACCCTACCCCACCATTTGCAGCAAGGACCCTCAATCGACCTTTTGTACCCCTCTCAATTTCTCTGTGAACTGCTGGAGTCCTACCCACCCCTTCTCCTAAGGACCCCTACCCATAGGATTCTCCAAAAAGCACCCACCGGATATGAACTGAACTGGACCACCCTACCCCGCCATCTCATCCACCCCTGTCTCCCTCCTCAGGGTGAATGGCCAAAGTTGAGGACCAATTCATTTTATTACACGGGGGTCCAATTTCAAGGGAAAACAACCGCAATCAAGGGTGGGGTACTGAAATCTTGGACCCCTCTTCGCCACTACCAACAAGTGTTTCGCTACAAGTAGCGGGTAGGGTGGTGGCATATCCTGTTGTTCAGGGGGTACAAAATATGGGATTTTCCATGGTAGTGGTCGATTCCGCTGAGGTGTGCAAGGTAGGGTACTCAAAAGGAGGGGGTCCACATGGAATTAAGATTTTGACCAGGGGGTAGGGGTGTTCCCTCACTGGATCTCCATTTTCGGCATTTTGATTGAAAAAGATCCACAGAAGATGGTGGACCAGAGCATCCCAAAATGGTGAAACTGCGCTGTAGTAAAAAGAGACAACAGTAACGGACTTTGTAACGTTCAAAGCGGCGTCCCTTGCGACCGGAATGTCATGTTTGTGGGACCCTTCCCATCCCCACGAAAAAGGGGGGTGCTGATGGTAGCAATCCAGATGCGAAAAAAAATGGTTTCACATAAGATCTGTAAAACAAATTTGTAGAATGCAAGTTTTTTAGGTGAAAACTAGTCTTTTGCGAATATGGCTTACGACCCTGTGGGACCTAAAAATTGGCGTGATTTACACGAACAACAAATGTGATTTGTTGGCCAACTTTGCATGGAATAGCCAAAGGCCTCCTTTCCATGGCCTGTCGAAGAGCCAAAGATTTCGGAGAGGTGGGGTTCGAAAACCACCGGGTGGAGGTCCAACAATGATCCATCAAGGACGGGTGGTTACATGAAGAGTTTGAGAAAATGGGGGTCTAATAATGGCAAACGTACCGGTGTGTAAAAAGGTCACATCAGGAGAGAGTGGTAGGGGTGCAAATCGATAAGGAAAGGGTGGGGTAAATTGATATCTCTGGATGGGTGGGGCAGGGTCGTGGGGTACTAAATACGAACTAATAATTCACGACGGGCCCAGTAGTGTATGCTGAAAGCAGAGTTTGGGGGGGAGTGAGGCCTGAGAAGGCGAAGAAGAGAGTAGGCTACGACTCAGAAACAATCAGCCAGAGCAGGAGCTCGAGGAGTGAACAAGAAAAGTTGCACATAACAAACTTTGGGAAAGGTGAACATTCTGTGCTGGGTAAGCAAGCGATCCACCGCTCAATTCTTAGGAAACGGTTTTTAGCAGTGGTAAGGCAGAAAAAGTTACCACTTGTGCTGGTTACCAATCAGAATAGCCAAAATATTGCAACACACGACTTTGAAATATTTCTTGGCTTATTCTCAGGGAGGATTGGGTTCCAGAAATTACGTAACAACTGGTAGCCTTCGAGCAACATACGTTCCAAGATCATGAAGGATACAGCGATGAACAACAAGGTCTTGAAGTCTCTCATCCGATCAAGATCTGCTGAGAATCTTATCGGAAATCTGCGCCTTGAACCCGTTCAAGAATGCAAGGAGGAGTACGAAGAGCTTGCAGAGAGTGGCATTTTGTCTCTGACCCATTCTTGTCAAGAAGACGAGTGCGCTTCAGGACCTCGTTCAGCGCTATCAGATACAAGCAACTGCTCGCATGCAGAGTTGTCAACAAGCCCCTTTCTTCTTCCCATTGAGGGTATGGAATCTTCTCACTCCGGGATGAGGAGAAGCAGCTCAGAGAACAACATCTGCTACAAAGGGAGCCTGATGAACAAGACATCCAGACCGTCTCAGCCCAGTCCGGCGTTCCAGGACTTCTTGTTGAAGATGCAAGCAGCAGAAGTTTGCAAAAAGTCGAATCAACTCAAATTGCTTCACAAGATAAGTCGATCGCGGGGGAAGCAATACAGCGCCAAGATTTTTCGTGGCGATTCGTTTGGCGATCAACTGCGTAGCCGCTACCTAGAGCGCCTCGGCATTACAAGACGGCGTGAAATGCAGGAGATTGTTCGAGTTGAAGAGAAGAAGCCCTCGGGAAACATGTCGAGCCGTACAGAGAAAGATACGTCGCATCGTCGCATCGAGAAGCCGAAACAGCCTCAGAAAAAGCAAACGTGCAGTCAAGCTGCGTGCGCGAATAGGAGGAATACCAGTGTGCAGCCACAGCAAGAGATGAACTACCTTGGCGGGTGGATCTTCTAACCCGTGAAGTGCTTCTTAATCGTCCAAAACAGTTTTTCTTCGTTTTACAAGCCCTTGTTACATTACTTAACGTTGAAACTGAATCGTCCTGAAAACAATTCCAAGTTCAGCATCGGACTGAACTTGATTGCACTTGTTTTCCTTTGTAAAGCACAATGATTATAGCCATTTCCAATCCAATAAACTAAAGACTAATACATTCGATGTCTATTTCTTTGCCGCCTCTCAGTACTTGATACGACTGAGCTGAGGAAACCGTGTGTCAGACACTGCTACTCAAAGCCGTTGAAGCCTGTTAAAAATCAGAACGAGGACAATCAAAATCAGGAGGCTGAGTAGAGGAGGCTTGACCCGGATCGGACACTCAGTGACTGTCGCCGCGGCGCACGACAAAGAACTCTAACTTTAGTAAATCACTGCCGCCGCAGGAGAGGCTTCCGAAGTTCCGGGATTCGTGGGACTCGGGCCGGGAGCCGCTGAGGCATTCCATGGCTTGACCCTGAGTAAAGATGACCCTGATAGGATCGGATCGGAAACCGTGAGCTCGCGGCTTTTCGCCGGAGTGCCGCAGGACTCCGACTGAGTAAAAGCCGCAGTGTGACAGTGCCGCTCCCCGCGGCCGCGGCGGCGTCCCGTCACCCGCCGGCAGCGTCACGGTACTGAGTCGGATACCGTACCGGCGCTCGGATGCCGGCCCGGAGGCCGGGCCGGGCAACCGTTGTGGAGATACCGTACCGTGATACCGCGTGCTCAGTGATAGCCCGGCAGTGCCGGGTCCGACACCGGGGCCCGCAAGCATGACAATGGAGGCTGATGCTGACATGTTAAACAGCAACGTTTCACTGGACGTATCCTTCAACGTGACCACAGCCAGTAAGCATCTGACATGGGTCACGCGGCCTGATATTTACCACACACGCCCTTCCGCCTATTTAAACAAACTCCCCCCGCACTTCAGGCTGTCACGTCAAACACAACCCACACCTCCTCCGCCCCCTTCTCCGCCCATCGTCTCCATGGTCCAGATCGACTTGTCCTGCATCGCTCCTTCCTCCTCCTCTCCTGCTCCTGACTCCCCCAAGTCTCCCTCTCCTCGCCCCCTCTCTCCGGATACCAACGACCAAGCCTGCCGTCACGCCAAGTACGGATGCCCCAGCCGTCGCAAGCAGCTCGAGTGTCTCGCGGCGGCGTCGCGGCTGATCCAGCGTCATGCGCAGATCTCAGGCGTGAGCGGGAGGGTCCTGCAGCTGTAAACGAGGGGAGGGCGACACAGAGGCGGGGGAGGAAGTAGCCTGTAATCTAATCACCTGTAGACTAATACGAAGAGGACACGAGCTGTGTTCGTGTATGAATAAAGCGATGTACAGTAGAGCAGACTGGGCGAGCTTTTTGCATGCTGAGATCAAGGCGGACACGTAGAGGCCTTGCACAGCAGACATCCCCCCACACTTGTCTAGCCTAATGTACACACCCAGACGAACGGGCACATTGCACGCAATAATGCAAGCTAAGCCCTGCTGCTAGACCCTTCACCTTCCTAGCATCATCTTTTGTCACTGGCTGGGTCCTTTCAATAATGCTGGCCTGGCTGTCTCGCACGGTGCCTCAAGTACTGGTGCCTGACTAGAATCACCCTGCCGACAAATCATAATGTTGGCTCTGATCAAACAGTTTTCTGCAGGCGGAAATCCTCCCTCCTCGGACATGTCGATTTGTTTCGATCAATACATCTCAAGGATTGAAACTGACCCATTTGCTAACAGATGTTGTACATACACAAGCCTCGGGAACGAGAGAGATCACCAGAGCAATCACTACTACGTTTACTAGAAACACAACGAGCACCGGCGAAGAGCTACTGCTGTCGGGTAGGACCAAAAACCTATTCCCCTACAAGTGCAGAGTATGTATGAGGTATGAGGCTTTGGTCCGGTCTACCGCAAAGCTACACTACTGCTGGAACTCTGATTAGTCCCATCAAGAACTCTGATTAATCCCATCAAGAACATGAACCGATTGACACTGAATAGACACAAACTTGCGAGTTGTGTTGGAAACATGCGAGCGAGTGGAAAACGCCGACTGCGTATGATACTCACCAGGTACCACCACACTTGATCAGAGTACCGAAAGACGCATTCTGAGAAGCCCCAACTGGCTGATAGCTAATAATCCTGAAGTATAGAAACGCACCTCCTGGATCAACTATCCCTCCAGACTAGTCAGTAAAGGTCCCGTCGTCGGCGAGAGTTCCCGATTGATCTGAAAAGAACTTGATGACATAAAAGGAGATTAAAAAGCTGACCAGCTGACATCTCCCTGTGAGCGTGTGACATGGGTCACGCGGCCTGATATTTACCACACACGCCCTTCCGCCTATTTAAACAAACTCCCCCCGCACTTCAGGCTGTCACGTCAAACACAACCCACACCTCCTCCGCCCCCTTCTCCGCCCATCGTCTCCATGGTCCAGATCGACTTGTCCTGCATCGCTCCTTCCTCCTCCTCTCCTGCTCCTGACTCCCCCAAGTCTCCCTCTCCTCGCCCCCTCTCTCCGGATACCAACGACCAAGCCTGCCGTCACGCCAAGTACGGATGCCCCAGCCGTCGCAAGCAGCTCGAGTGTCTCGCGGCGGCGTCGCGGCTGATCCAGCGTCATGCGCAGATCTCGGGCGTGAGCGGGAGGGTCCTGCAGCTGTAAACGAGGGGAGGGCGACACAGAGGCGGGGGAGGAAGTAGCCTGTAATCTAATCACCTGTAGACTAATACGAAGAGGACACGAGCTGTGTTCGTGTATGAATAAAGCGATGTACAGTAGAGCAGACTGGGCGAGCTTTTTGCATGCTGAGATCAAGGCGGACACGTAGAGGCCTTGCACAGCAGACATCCCCCCACACTTGTCTAGCCTAATGTACACACCCAGACGAACGGGCACATTGCACGCAATAATGCAAGCTAAGCCCTGCTGCTAGACCCTTCACCTTCCTAGCATCATCTTTTGTCACTGGCTGGGTCCTTTCAATAATGCTGGCCTGGCTGTCTCGCACGGTGCCTCAAGTACTGGTGCCTGACTAGAATCACCCTGCCGACAAATCATAATGTTGGCTCTGATCAAACAGTTTTCTGCAGGCGGAAATCCTCCCTCCTCGGACATGTCGATTTGTTTCGATCAATACATCTCAAGGATTGAAACTGACCCATTTGCTAACAGATGTTGTACATACACAAGCCTCGGGAACGAGAGAGATCACCAGAGCAATCACTACTACGTTTACTAGAAACACAACGAGCACCGGCGAAGAGCTACTGCTGTCGGGTAGGACCAAAAACCTATTCCCCTACAAGTGCAGAGTATGTATGAGGTATGAGGCTTTGGTCCGGTCTACCGCAAAGCTACACTACTGCTGGAACTCTGATTAGTCCCATCAAGAACTCTGATTAATCCCATCAAGAACATGAACCGATTGACACTGAATAGACACAAACTTGCGAGTTGTGTTGGAAACATGCGAGCGAGTGGAAAACGCCGACTGCGTATGATACTCACCAGATACCACCACACTTGATCAGAGTACCGAAAGACGCATTCTGAGAAGCCCCAACTGGCTGATAGCTAATAATCCTGAAGTATAGAAACGCACCTCCTGGATCAACTATCCCTCCAGACTAGTCAGTAAAGGTCCCGTCGTCAGCGAGAGTTCCCGATTGATCTGAAAAGAACTTGATGACATAAAAGGAGATTAAAAAGCTGACCAGCTGACATCTCCCTGTAAGCGTGTGACATGGGTCACGCGGCCTGATATTTACCACACACGCCCTTCCGCCTATTTAAACAAACTCCCCCCGCACTTCAGGCTGTCACGTCAAACACAACCCACACCTCCTCCGCCCCCTTCTCCGCCCATCGTCTCCATGGTCCAGATCGACTTGTCCTGCATCGCTCCTTCCTCCTCCTCTCCTGCTCCTGACTCCCCCAAGTCTCCCTCTCCTCGCCCCCTCTCTCCGGATACCAACGACCAAGCCTGCCGTCACGCCAAGTACGGATGCCCCAGCCGTCGCAAGCAGCTCGAGTGTCTCGCGGCGGCGTCGCGGCTGATCCAGCGTCATGCGCAGATCTCAGGCGTGAGCGGGAGGGTCCTGCAGCTGTAAACGAGGGGAGGGCGACACAGAGGCGGGGGAGGAAGTAGCCTGTAATCTAATCACGTGTAGACTAATACGAAGAGGACACGAGCTGTGTTCGTGTATGAATAAAGCGATGTACAGTAGAGCAGACTGGGCGAGCTTTTTGCATGCTGAGATCAAGGCGGACACGTAGAGGCCTTGCACAGCAGACATCCCCCCACACTTGTCTAGCCTAATGTACACACCCAGACGAACGGGCACATTGCACGCAATAATGCAAGCTAAGCCCTGCTGCTAGACCCTTCACCTTCCTAGCATCATCTTTTGTCACTGGCTGGGTCCTTTCAATAATGCTGGCCTGGCTGTCTCGCACGGTGCCTCAAGTACTGGTGCCTGACTAGAATCACCCTGCCGACAAATCATAATGTTGGCTCTGATCAAACAGTTTTCTGCAGGCGGAAATCCTCCCTCCTCGGACATGTCGATTTGTTTCGATCAATACATCTCAAGGATTGAAACTGACCCATTTGCTAACAGATGTTGTACATACACAAGCCTCGGGAACGAGAGAGATCACCAGAGCAATCACTACTACGTTTACTAGAAACACAACGAGCACCGGCGAAGAGCTACTGCTGTCGGGTAGGACCAAAAACCTATTCCCCTACAAGTGCAGAGTATGTATGAGGTATGAGGCTTTGGTCCGGTCTACCGCAAAGCTACACTACTGCTGGAACTCTGATTAATCCCATCAAGAACATGAACCGATTGACACTGAATAGACACAAACTTGCGAGTTGTGTTGGAAACATGCGAGCGAGTGGAAAACGCCGACTGCGTATGATACTCACCAGGTACCACCACACTTGATCAGAGTACCGAAAGACGCATTCTGAGAAGCCCCAACTCCTGCTCCTGACTCCCCCAAGTCTCCCTCTCCTCGCCCCCTCTATCCGGATACCAACGACCAAGCCTGCCGTCACGCCAAGTACGGATGCCCCAGCCGTCGCAAGCAGCTCGAGTGTCTCGCGGCGGCGTCGCGGCTGATCCAGCGTCATGCGCAGATCTCGGGCGTGAGCGGGAGGGTCCTGCAGCTGTAAACGAGGGGAGGGCGACACAGAGGCGGGGCAAGGAAGTAGCCTGTAATCTAAGCACGTGTAGACTAATACGAAGAGGACACGAGCTGTGTTCGTGTATGAATAAAGCGATGTACAGTAGAGCAGACTGGGCGAGCTTTTTGCATGCTGAGATCAAGGCGGACACGTAGAGGCCTTGCACAGCAGACATCCCCCCACACTTGCTTCGGTCCATCTGCCATCAGACCGTAGGGTAAGGCAACTAAGCTGATACTCCGAGTCCAGCATTGCATGAAAACACGACATTAGAATGCCACGCTTGAGAGGCTAGACGTCTAGGAGTGCAGGCGAGGATCGGAACGGCAATAATGTAGTGTAGTCATAATGTAGGATCACTGAGTGGCATCCGGCGCTGCCCGCTAAGGACTAGAGTCGGACGGCTACCGTAGTGCTAGTACAGTACTACTCTGAGTACGGTAAACAGTTCAAGTTCGCCGATTCTTAACGTTGCACGAGTCACTAGTAGTGTCTGATGGGTGAGTCACAGACGGTTTGCCACGCAGACTCGGTATGGCAAGTTCAGTTCCGCTGAGCACTGCACTCAAAGCCTCGGAGCTAATAGCACTCCAGCAAGAGAAGCTATCACCGGGTCTTTTTGGGCGACAGGGAGTGCCAAGTACCGTAGTACGGGTGATATCTCTTGTACTGGTACGATCCGGGATGAACCTCGAGGAGCGCGGCCTGAACTGAGAGAGCAACCTGACCTGGAGTAACTTGCGGCGGACGCACCGTGACGAACTTTCATCAGAGCAGTGCCACGGTGCAACGTAACTTAAAGCTTCCGCCGAAGCCTTCGGGATGTGACGTCAGTGGCAGGATTCGGGCCCGCAGCGCGGCCCGCCCGGATGACGGGCGGACTTCGAAACTAAGTTCCGAGTCCCGACCGGAGGGCCAGTCACTCTGGGCCGCTCGGAACGCAGTTGATCAGCTGACAAAGGGGGCAGAGATCGTTCTGCTGACATCTCTCGTGACCACAGCCTGTAAGCAACCTAACGTCCGATATTTACCACACACGCCCTTCCGCCCTCATAAACTCTTGAGGCTGTCACACTTGCATTCACCACAGCCACATCCTCCGCCTCCTTCTCCTTCGCCCCCTCCTCCGCCCATCGTCTCCATGGTCCAGATCGACTTGTCCTGCATCGCTCCTTCCTCCTCCTCTCCTGCTCCTGACTCCCCCAAGTCTCCCTCTCCTCGCCCCCTCTATCCGGATACCAACGACCAAGCCTGCCGTCACGCCAAGTACGGATGCCCCAGCCGTCGCAAGCAGCTCGAGTGTCTCGCGGCGGCGTCGCGGCTGATCCAGCGTCATGCGCAGATCTCGGGCGTGAGCGGGAGGATCCTGCAGCTGTAAACGAGGGGAGGGCGACACAGAGGCGGGGAAAGGAAGTAGCCTGTAATCTAATCACCTGTAGACTAATACGAAGAGGACACGAGCTGTGTTCGTGTATGAATAAAGCGATGTACAGTAGAGCAGACTGGGCGAGCTTTTTGCATGCTGAGATCAAGGCGGACACGTAGAGGCCTTGCACAGCTGACATCCCCCCACACTTGCTTCGGTCCATCTGCCATCAGACCGTAGGGTAAGGCAACTAAGCTGATACTCCGAGTCCAGCATTGCATGAAAACACGACATTAGAATGCCACGCTTGAGAGGCTAGATGTCTAGGAGTGCAGGCGAGGATCGGAAGGGAAATGATGTAATGTACATGCAAGGTCAGCTAGACAAGCCGCTCCATGAAACTACCGTGCATGCCATCAACTGGCGGGATACCAGGAGACGGAGACGGCCCTCAGCGTACATCCGAGTGCCAAAGTGACCAGTAGTCGTACTGATTTCCGGGATTCCATGCCATCGATGCTCCCGCTGCCAGGCGTTCCGTTCAATCTTTACTTCCGAGCCATACTTCAGTGTCCGGAGCCGGTGGCAGGGCCCGGCTTGGCGACCGGGGGGCCCGTGACTCCGGGTACGGTTGATCAGCTGACAAAGGGGGCAGAGATCGTTCTGCTGACATCTCTCGTGACCACAGCCTGTAAGCATCTTAACCTCCGATATTTACCACACACGCCCTTCCGCCCTCATAAACTCTTGAGGCTGTCACACTTGCATTCACCACAGCCACATCCTCCGCCTCCTTCTCCTTCGCCCCCTCCTCAGCCCATCGTCTCCATGGTCCAGATCGACTTGTCCTGCATCGCTCCTTCCTCCTCCTCTCCTGCTCCTGACTCCCCCAAGTCTCCCTCTCCTCGCCCCCTCTATCCGGATACCAACGACCAAGCCTGCCGTCACGCCAAGTACGGATGCCCCAGCCGTCGCAAGCAGCTCGAGTGTCTCGCGGCGGCGTCGCGGCTGATCCAGCGTCATGCGCAGATCTCAGGCGTGAGCGGGAGGGTCCTGCAGCTGTAAACGAGGGGAGGGCGACACAGAGGCGGGGGAGGAAGTAGCCTGTAATCTAATCACCTGTAGACTAATACGAAGAGGACACGAGCTGTGTTCGTGTATGAATAAAGCGATGTACAGTAGAGCAGACTGGGCGAGCTTTTTGCATGCTGAGATCAAGGCGGACACGTAGAGGCCTTGCACAGCTGACATCCCCCCCACTTGCTTCGGTCCATCTGCCATCAGACCGTAGGGTAAGGCCCAACTAAGCTGATACTCCGAGTCCAGCATTGCATGAAAACACGACATTAGAATGCCACGCTTGAGAGGCTAGACGTCTAGGAGTGCAGGCGAGGATCGGAAGGGAAATGATGTAATGTACATGCAAGGTCAGCTAGATAAGCCGCTCCATGAAACTACCGTGCATGAACTGGCGGGATACCAGGAGACGGAGACGGCCCTCAGCGTACATCCGAGTGAAAGTGACTAGTAGTCGTACTGATTTCCGAAGTTCCGAGATTCCATGCCATCGATGCTCCTGCTCCCGCTGCCAGGCGTTCCGTTCAATATTTACTTCAAACTTCAGTGTCCGGAGCCGGTGGCAGGGCCCGGCTTGGCGACCGGGGGGGGCGTGACTCCGGGTACGGTTGATCAGCTGACAAAGGGGGCAGAGATCGTTCTGCTGACATCTCTCGTGACCACAGCCTGTAAGCAACCTAACGTCCGATATTTACCACACACGCCCTTCCGCCCTCATAAACTCTTGAGGCTGTCACACTTGCATTCACCACAGCCACATCCTCCGCCCCCTTCTCCTTCGCCCCCTTCTCCGCCCATCGTCTCCATGGTCCAGATCGACTTGTCCTGCATCGCTCCTTCCTCCTCCTCTCCTGCTCCTGACTCCCCCAAGTCTCCCTCTCCTCGCCCCCTCTCTCCGGATACCAACGACCAAGCCTGCCGTCACGCCAAGTACGGATGCCCCAGCCGTCGCAAGCAGCTCGAGTGTCTCGCGGCGGCGTCGCGGCTGATCCGGCAGCATGCGCAGATCTCGGGCGTGAGCGGGAGGGTCCTGCAGCTGTAAAGGGGGGAAGGAAGTTGCCTGTGAAGTCAAGACGCACGTGTAGACTAGGATTCAAGAATCTCGATATGTATATTGTAAATAGATGTGAGCATTCCCAGAGTTTGATCGCTTCCTAACTCTCATCACAGCATATCATGGCCAACAACACACTTTCAGCACAGGCACAGTAGGATTTCAACAGACTCAGTGAGGAACAAGCGTGCAGTACAAGGTGCGGTCGAGATAGCACAGCGACCAAGAATAGATCTTGAAACAGGCAAGTGCTCTGTTCTCAGTGAAAACTCGGCAATGAACTTATGATAAGTTTCCAATTTCTCTTTCCTCGAAGATTTAGCCTGTGCTTCGGAAGCTCGGAGTTCCGCTGTCACAGCCCGGCCGCTGCCCGCACAGTGCGCTCAGCAGGGCGCGGCCGCAGCACCCGGTCGGTGCAGCGGGAGACCGTCGGACCGTCCCAGTCTGACCGCTCAAGTCTTCAAGTAGTCATGTTCATTCCTGAAAGTTGAGGTTACCGCCGAGCCTTCAAGCCGAGCCGGCCGCACGGCGGCAGCCCTGAAGTCACCCGGTACGGTAGGCGTTTCCGACAGTCACTTACAATAGCGATCCAGATCGGGAGCTGGTGGATGTCTCCCTTCCTCCAATCGATTGTGAGCTTGTTGAGGAGGAGGAGGGCGGTGACGAAACCATCGACCGACCTGCAGAGACCCGTGGAGACGGAAGAAGCAGACTTCATATGCCAGCAACGTGAGAATGTCTTGATGGAAGAATACGAGGGACGATTCTCTGAGTGGCAACGGTCATGGATGACTGTATCAGACCTACTGAGGCCTTCGAAGCAGGCCGCATGGATATCGCAGTCAGCTTCAAGAAAACGTAAACGGAATGAGAGATCAACATAGGAAGGGTGTGAGATGAATGAACATTTCATCATCCGGAGGTATGAATGAATGATAACCCGACTCGTACATGCCCGGCGCCCTTCGATGAATGGCATCAAAGGTGATAGTAGAAAGGGAGTGAAATGTCACTGAGTCATCATTGACTTGATGATGCTAGAATCATCATACACCCTGAAGTTCACCTTTCGCAATCAACAAAGCACAATCTCGAGCTGCAGCATGAACTTCAAGTTTCGGAAGTTCACTGATCAATGATGGCCATGAAGCATGTCTCTAGTATCTGATCGGATCATGACGTACTACGGCGGCGTACAACGGCGGAACGGTGATCGGACCATATCGGAACTGGAACTTCGGAAGATCACCACTGACAGTACTTCATGTAACATTCGGTGATGGGGAATTTAGGCTTTATGCTGAACTCGCGATCATCATACTGGAGGTGACCTACAAGGCGGGGCCCGGCCGGGCGGCCGGCCCGGGCCCTTCGGGAGACTCACTGAGTCAGAGCCTCGCGTCGAAGTTTGTCGAACGGCGCCCGCCTCGGAGTCGGATGGAAAGCAGCGAGCATGTCGGAGGGATCGCAGGGAGGGGATGTATGAGGAGCGGGCGGGGGACTGAGCGATGTGCTGTGATCGTCCTCCTACAAGACTCTTTCTGCTCTCGCTCGCTGCCTATGCTTCTCTCCTTTCCTCCTGTGCGGCGCATGCGCCGGACAATGACTTCGAGGACGTGAAGCTCTCGAAGCTGGCCTTCGGCTCCTGTAGCAAGCCCTTCTGGCCTCAGCCTCTGTGGGGAGCGATCAGGGAGCAGGCCCCCCAAGTGTATGCTAGTCTGTGCGTCTCCTGGCACAAGGTGACGGCGGCACAGGTGGCTATGGACGGGGGACGCCGTGTACCTGGGAGGGGATCAGCCCGACGACCTGAAGACGGCCTACCGCTCTCAGCTGGAGAGAGAGGATTATCGTCAGTTCCTCTCCACGGGAGTGATCGTTGAGGGAGTGTAAGTACTATTCAAAGCTGCGATCCTTTCCCGTGAGCTCCTGAGCAGCTATGATGATCACGATTACGGGAAGAACGACGCAGGAAAATTTCTCAGAGATCGTGAAGGTTCGTTTCCTCCTGGACGCGTTTTTCTTCTCCTCATCCAGTAACATGCTGCTATGCACGTGCAGGCAGCCAGCAGGCCTTCTTGGACTTCATCGGGGTTGATCGCCATTCTGCACGACGTCGTCGGCAGGGATTGTACTCTTCTCACAATTTTGGAAACTCTACCGACGTGGTCAAGGTTGAAGAGTTCAGTGTGGGTCCTAACAAAGCCTGATGACGGTTCACCTCCAGGTGATACTGCTTGACACTCGCTATCACCGAGACAGTCACTTCATCCCGTCCATCGGCTCCTTCAAGATTCCGTTCTCAGCGTTGGTAGCTGCCTTCACGCGTTGGCTGTGCGGAACTTTGGGGTTGGGGTTGGATCATGGAGGAGACATCTTGGGAGAGGAGCAGTGGCTCTGGCTTGAGGACGAGCTGAAGAACTCGAGAGCTGCCGTCCACATCTTGGTCTCATCCATCCAGGTACCTGACAAACTTGACCAACAACACATGATAAGTCGACGCTGTGATGGCAGGTTCTGACCAGCAACAACCTTGTCGAATCTTGGAAACACTTTCCTCGCAGCAAACGAAAGCTCTTGGAACTGATTCTCAGGTACCGACCGTCAAACCTGGTCATCCTCTCTGGAGATGTTCACTTTGCCGAGGTCAGTCTGTTGTGAACAAACCATCTTGCTCGTCTAAGCGACTCTTTCAGCTGTCTGGTCGCCCTGCTGTCGAGGTCACTTCTTCAGGCATGACGCACACTTGCGCTACTGTTTGGTCAGAATTCCTCGCTCGCCCCTTCTCTCCTCTGATCCACCCGCGCTCGCTATCAGGTGGGGACGAGCCTGTGGCCCGATAGTTGGAGCATACCAAGAGCACCGGGAGCGTCCAGGCGACTGGTACACAGGCTACAACTTCGGGACTGTCGAAATCGATTGGGGGGGCAGGGGGAAGGGGATTAAGCCCGTTGTACGTGCCAGCATCCGGAACGTGAACGGGACTGCGGTAAGTGAGTGGAGATCGTGTTTGCGTATGACGAAAGTTCGACAGGTAAAATCCATCAGCATTGAGGAGGACCCGAGCAAGGCCCTGAAAGATGCACTAGAAGCCATGGTGCAGGAGAGAGAGCGTGGCGAGGGAAGGATGTACTGGACTCTGATGGCGGGTTCTGTTGTGTTGTCAGTCGTCCTGGTGATCATCATGAGGATCCTTCAATAATAAAACATACAATGTGGGCAAAGACGTCATCAATCGTGCTCGTGCCAACTTTTGCTATTCAACACAACTTGTGTGAGCCTGTCGTCCCACTGTTTGCGCTCATCGGCAAACCTCCTGCGTTCATCCTCCAGGACCCCCTGGCACTCGGCCAGCTTCACCTGGCACGCCTTCAGCCTCGCCTCCTTCTGGTTGCAGTCTTCCTCCAGCTCGTGGCACTTGCTTCGTAGCGATCGGACGAGGGAGATCAGAGTGAGCTTCTCAGAAAACTCCTCCTGTCGCGAAGACAGGCTGTCCTCTGAAAGCTTGCACCACAGCAAGGTCTTCTCCCCCCTGAGCGCCTTCAGCTCGGAGATCTTCTGCTCGATTGTTCGCTTCTGCACGGGGCTGATGCCCGCAGGCCTTAGCGCCGGCTCGATCAGCATGGCGGGGGCCTCCGGCATCGGCTTCGGCGAGCTCTTCATTGCCGTGCGGTACCTCTGGCAGTCAAGTTTACTTATCACCTTATTTTTAGTTATCGTGGGGGCGGTACTGCTGATTGATTGTGGGCCAAAAAAAAAGTCAAGAAGAGGATGAAGAGACATGGCTGAGACTGAAATGAACAAAGGTGGCAGACCAGTCTCTGTAGCCTCCATGGCGAGAGAGGGAGAGGCAGGCAGGCAGGCAGGCAGGCAGGCAGGCAGGCAGAGGTCGAGACAGAAACAGAGTCAAGTCGAAGTTTGAATACAAGATTGCGTTGAGGGCAGGGAGCTCCCATTACGACTGTAACAGGAAGGGCAGTAAAGGATCATAGCACATGAGCATGTGTAGCAGCAGGAACCAGAAGATAAGATGTAGAAGAGGAAATTACCTTGAATCATGATCTATGTCTGACCTGAAACCATGTTTGAATGATGTGATGAATCTGCATACCTGACCATACTCACGTTCACGACGATCTAGCCGATAACATGAGTTTACTCTGCTTTTCAAGATTGTCTGACTGCGGTTAGCAGTCCGACTTGACTCTAGGGAGATGGTGGTCAACAACGCCGGAGTCCACGCTGTGATCGAGCACGATCGGAATGGTGAAGGATACCAAATCTCCTCTGTCCTCCGTGGAGGACAGATCGCTCGACGAGTCGTTCCCATGGACACGCTGATCTCCGTAGACGGAGTTGCAGTCTACGGGCTGCCGATCGCGCAGGTGAAGAGCCCGAAAGTGCATTCTAGACCTGAGGATGTCGAAAACCTAGGTTAAGAGCATGATCCGCGGGCCGGAGGGAAGTGCGATCCGACTGCTGTAGAGTGACGCTGGAGTGCGAGTAGATGTAGTTGATGAGTTTTGACAGGCTCTCCCGCCCCGGCGTTGGATCCTTCGAGACGACCATCTTCAGAACCTCGTCGGAGCTGCAGGACACGCAGCTTTGCCTGCTCCAGGTATCTGCCTCGGCCTCTGCCTCTGCCTCTGCCTCTGCCTCTGCCTCCTCGGTCGCAACCGCGGGGCTCGACCCACTGATGCTCGCTGAACGCAGGAGATCAACAGCATGTTGACATGCCAAGATGATCCTGTAGGCTCCTTGACCTCGCGGCTGAGCACTTACGTTTGAGTCTTGCAACAGAACGATCCGGCTTCGGTGTACGAGACCATGATACAGGTGCTCAACTGACATCTTCGCATCTCCTCCACTGAAATCACTGTGCCGCCAGAACTCGTGGCGAAACAAAGACAGCATGGATGGCAAGATGTACATGTCCGTGGTCGAGCTGATCAGGTCACGAAGACTCCCTGGCTCCCTTTGCTGACAATAGACGCGCAGAGAACTGAAGAAGCAACTCATCATGGGGGCGTCAGAGAGCGAGATGAAAGAGACGATCACGCGGCTGCAGCTCGAGCTCGCCAGTGCAAACCTTGTGCGTCATGATAGCGAGAAGCGGGGAAGGGGCAACAGGGACTGTGGAGGCGGTGGAAGTGGAAGAGCAGGACTGGGGACGGGGGGGGGGATGGCGGGAAGGAGAAAGAGTTTGACCCTGTGTGTGCAGACGACAACTCAGATGAGGAAAGAGATGAAGGATCGAGAATATCAGGAGGTGATGGGTGATACGAGCTCGGCCCTGCTCTGCTCATCGTCCTTTGGCAGATCGTTCCTGTCACCATGACGATCCGCTACCGTCTAGACGAGCTGCAAGAAGACACGGAGCGGTGAGCCGTCGGGAACGGGAATGGTAGGAGGCTCTGACGACGGCGACGACGCAGGCGCCAGGCGTTCAAGCGAGAGCTGCAGGAGGAGATCAGCAAGGCTTGGAGCTAAGAAAGAGGGACTATCAAGCTGACCTTGTCCTCAGTCGCTCGAGACCAACCTGGGAAGGATCGAGATCATTGGGATGCACGCTTCCCAGGACACGGACCCGGTCTGATCTCCCAGGAGAAGGGAGGTTGAGAGTGAAGGGGTTTTGTTGGGCAGATGTTGGACGTCGACATCCTCGTCCTGCCGGACCTCAAGTCCAACTCAGACGTTTCCAAGAGCCCCAGGTCCACAATGCCTCAGCCTCGAGAGCTGAAAAGGAGCTGGGAATGACTCCCGGCCTTGCAGCCAGCTGGCAACAGAATTGCTCGATCTGACCAGGGACACCAACAGCTCTTTGTACCAAAAACGGTGAATACGACTACTACTAGGAGTAGTCCCCTTCTCCTCGTACTCTCCTCCTCTCCTACTCTCCTACTCTCCACCACCTCCTCCTCCTTCATCCTAACCTCCTCGGGTGATGATTTCTCCCTCCTTCATCATCCTACTTGTACTAGTGGGGCTCACACTTTCGCAGGATCTGCTCGAAATGCACTCGCGCGTCTCTTCGCACCCTCTACGAATTCTTCAACAGGCTCAAGTCGACCATCCAGCAGCTTCAGGCGAGGACCCGATGATCTCCCAGCTGTCTGCCTGCTGAGCTCTGTATAGGAGGAGCTGCTGATGTTCCGGGGGGTCAAACAGCCGCCGACAGCTGAAAACTCGTCTGAGCTGGAGGCTGCGCGCCGCGAGATCGCGACCCTCAGACAGGAAAGTTGGAGGAGGAGGAGGAGGAGGAGGAGGAGGAGTTTGACAAGGGAGCAGGAGGTCAAGGACCGCGATGATCGTCTGCGAGAGCTGCTGGCGCTGTCAAATCAAAACCTGTCGCAGGTCCTGGGGAGGGAGGAAGCGAGTCTGTCCTGACGTGATGCGCCAGTACGAGCTTGAGCGAGACAAACACCTCCGAGCATCCGCCGCCTACACGAGCCTGGTGACGACCAGGGAGCAGGAGGCACAGGAAATTCTCCTACTCCAGGTGACGAGACTCCCTCCTTCAAGTCCTCGTTACTCACTCCCTATCCCCTCCCTCCCCGATCTCTTCCGTCCTCCGTCGCTTGCCTACCTGTCTACTGTTTCCCTCACTCCTTTGCATCCCTCCGCTTTCTCCTCGCCTCTCCTGCTCTCCTCCTCTTCCTCCTCGTCCTTGCTCTTTGGCACTGGCTGATGGCGGAACGCAGAGGAAGGTCGAGGCTGCTAACGAGGACCGGGAGAAACTCAGTGCGGAAGTATCGCTGCTCCCCCCCCCCACATTCGCACAGTGACCTTGACTTGCTCAAGATCAATCGTCTGCGCGACATGCTGTGGTCAGCTGCCAACCAGCGGCAGGTAGACATCCTTAGTGTGAGAGGAGGAGGGGCAGAGAAGCGAGGTGGGACAGGGAAGGTGGGAGGTTGTGGAGTGTAGGAGAAAGAACAGAGTGGGGAAAGAACAGAGGTAAGGAGAGAGGTAAGGGGTAAAAGGATACCCTAGGAGAGTACAGAGGAGAGGAGAGAGGGGACCAACATTCCTCACCCACGAGGCAGGAGGTCGAGCAGCAGCTGGAGGATCTTCGCAAGGTTGAGGAGGAGGAGGAGGAGGAGGAAGAGGAGATCATGGCTGCCTGACAATCGCATGACATCAGCTTAATGGCTCCTTATCCACCAAGAACGAACTACTAGACAAGGTCTCTTTCACCCTCCCTCCCTCTCATCATCATCATCATCATCATCATCATCATCATCATCATCATCATCATCATCATCATCATCATCATCATCGAGCATGCAGGAACTGGCTGCTCTCCGACTGTCCGAGGCGCATGCGCGAGCCAACGCGGCGTCGGAGATCCAGCGGGAGCGAGAGACTTCCGCCAACTTCGCGCTTGAGACGCAGAAACTTCAAGTTCGTCCTCCTCCTCTTCCACCTTCTCCCCAGCTGAGAGCCCCCACAGGTGCAGAGCAAACAGCTGCAAGAGGAGGCCATCAAGTACTACGAGGTCGAAGGAGGAGAGGGGCAGAGGAGGAGGAGGAGAAGGAGGAGGAGGAGGAGGAGGAGGAGGAGGGTCATGCGCCCTCAGCTACTTGGCAGACTCGCTTCAAAGCACTGGAGAACCTGCCGGCTGAGCTGCAGAAGGTGAGGAGGAGGAGCGAGGAGACGTCCGTCATGCTGGTGCAGGTCAAGATGGATTACGCGGAACTTGAGCAGAAGGTAGGTTGCAATAACTCTGTGTCGAAATGCGACGAAGATGACGAAGAAGAGATTTGGGCTAGAGCATCTGCGGATGAGGAAGCGGGGGAGCAGGAGCAGGAGCAGGAGCAGGAGCAGGAGCAGGAGGTCTAAGAGGAGAGGAGGGGGCAGACAGGAGCAGGAGCAAGTGGTTGGGGGTAGGAGGGAGAGAGAGAGAGAGATCAGGAGGGGATTGACCTTCATTCTACAGTATACTGTGCTTGTGACGGAATGCGAGTCGTTGAAGAGGACCGTGGAGATGTTGGAGCTCGAGAAGAAGCAGGTTCCCCCTCCAGCCGCTCCTCTGTCTCTGTTCTCAGCTCTCTGCCTCCAGCTGCTCGGCTACAGGTACGAGAGGGACGTGCTGGCCAACGAGCTGGAGGCCCTCAAGAAGAGCTCGGCAGGTGGGGGCGAGCTGTGAAATTTCCCCTTCGTGTCCCCTCACCCGCGCGCAGAGACGCAAGTGAGGCTGCAGGAGACGATCAAGGAGCTCCAGGTAGAGGGAGGCTGGTGGGGGGCCAGGCAGCCCCCAGCTGACATCCAGCAGGCCGAGGTGGCTCGCTTGCAGACGCAGTGCCTCCAGATCCCTCCGCTCCAGCAGAGGATCCACCAGGTGCAGTGCCAGGCGCCTCTGACGCCGGTTGACAACATCCCGAGCAGCTCGAGATGGAGAAGATTGAGAGTGTGAAGGCGCTCGAACGGTCGCTCCAAGAGGCTCTGCGGGCCCGGTAGATCGATCCTCCTCCTCCTCCCGCGCTACAGACCCTCTCGTTTCCCCTCCTTGCTCCTTGCTCCTCTCGTTCACCTCTCTTCCCCTCCCTTCCCCTCCCCTCCCCTCCCCTCCTCTCTCTCCCTTCTCCTTTACCTCCTCTCCTCTCCTCTCCCTCCCTTCTCTTTCATTTTCCCCTCTCCTCTCTTCTCCCCTCCCCTCCTCTCCCTTCTATTTCTCTCTCCTCTCCCTCCGCTTCCTTCACCGGGCGTGCAGGGACGACCTGGCTCAGCACGTGGCAGCCAAGGGCATCGAGATCGACAAGCTGAGCAAGGAGGTCGAGAGGCTGCACAACGAAGTCCACCTTAGGTCTCCTCCTCCCCCAGCAGCGCCGGCATGCTCACCTTGTCTCCTGCTCCTTCCAGGGATACCGATATCATCTCACTACGATCGCACATCCAGACTCTCAGCAGGTGACGCCTCCTGCCCCTACCAGGCTCCTCCCCGTGCGCTGAGCCGCCTTTCCTCCCCCGCAGGGAGCTCGAGGAGACGAAGCCTCTGATCAAGAGCGTCCCAGCCCTGACACAGCGCAAGGACCAGCTGGAAGCTCATGTGAGCAGGAGAGGGGGCAGGACTAGGAGGAGAAGGGAGAGCGGGAGGAAGGAGGAGAAGGGAGAGCGGGAGGAAGGAGGAGGAGGGAGAGTGGGAGGAAGGAGGAGGAGGGAGAGCGGGAGGAAGGAGGAGGAGGCAGAGCGGGAGGAAGGAGGAGGAGGATCGGGCGGGTTGTCATCTTATGTTGCTGTGCAGGTGAACACGCTCAACGGACACCTGGAGAAGATCAAGCAGCAGTCGCTGACCGCTCATGCCGAGTACGTCAGGCTGCAGAACGAGAACGAGGAGAGCAAGTCGCTCCTTGATCGACATCATGACGCTCTCTGCTCAGATCTTGAAGCGAGAGGCCGTAGGCATGAGGAACGTCTTCTCGCTGAATGAGCAGGAGAAGAAGGTGAGGACGAGGTCACGAGCGGTCGGCTGCTGACGTCACCACAGGCCATGAGTGATCAACTGCTACGATACAAGGAGCTGTTGGAGTGCGTGCTTGACCCTCGAACCCATGCATCTTCACCCGTCCTTCGAAATCTCACATCGTTTCTTTCTCTTGCTTGCTTCCCCTAGTCAAGTCACCTCCCCTCCCCTCCCCTCCCCTCCCCTCCCCTCCCATCTTCCCTTCCCCTCGTCTAACTTGCTTGCTTCAGGAGTCAGAAGGGCACAGAGGAAGTACTGGGCAAGGACAGGGACGCCCTGCAGTCTCAAATCTCCATCCTCAACGCTGAGATGTACGTCCGCACGTGCCATCGCTTCCCATGACTTGCAGCAGAGAGGCTCTCCGCCGGAGCATCATGAAGGTCGACGGTCACGGGATCAATCCCATCTCCCAAGGCTACCCCATCTGATCTCAGCGACGCCATCCATGGCGAGTGTCTCTCTCCCTCTGCCCTCTCCCTGTCCTCTTGTCTCGCTTCCTCTGCTTCACCTCGACATGTTGGCGAAGCTCAAGGGAGGCACGTGGGTCCGCGAGCTCCCGACGAATCCTATGCCGGGGATGTAGCGGGGGATGGAACGAGTGTCGGAGATGGGAGAGGCTTCGAGGTTTGACAGCCTGCTCAGGTCGGGGGTGCGAGGGGAAGCAGCCTTCGCGTAGCTCTCGGAGAAGTCGTGGAGAAAGCGAGTCTCTCCCGTCCAACGGTCGAAGGCCAGCGCGAGGGCCTGGAGCTTCAGCTTCTCGAGGAGGCGAGAGAACGACGTGTTCATCCTGAGCTTGTTCTGGCATAGCGAGCACCAGCGTTGGAAGCAACTGTTCTGCAATGAAAACGCCATCTGCAAGCAGCGTTCGGCAGCCGAGAGGTCGATTGATCGCTTCCCGTCTTCTTCACTTGATCTCCATCTCGCCAAGACGTCTCTGAGAATCGACTGAGAGAAGCGAGAAGCCCTAGCGTCAAGAAGGCTCCTCCTCTCCCTCTCTTCCTCCATCCAGGCCTCCCACCTCCTGAACGACTGCGTCATCATCCGTCTCTGCCGCACCAGCACCAGCCTCCTCCTCACGCTCGCGCTCTGTCGGCGCCACGTCGTCAGACTCCGCCAGTGAGTCAGCGACCGCAAGCCCAGGAGGCTCCATCCAAGTTCGGTACCAGCCGACCAGCCAACTTCATGCTCGGCTTCTTCCTTGTAGCCACCGAGCGCGTCGAGAGCCAGGCGCAGAAGCCTCGCGCGAGCTCTGGTCTGAATCTTGTAGAGCACAACACGCAGAAAGGCTTCGTGCCTGTGCCATTCACTCCACTGATCGAAGGCAAGCGACTTGCAGCGTTGAGCTTGTCGTTCTTGCAGGAAGATCGACAGAGAATGTACAATACTCTCTCTGCTTTGGCCTTTGGCTTTGTGTTGCGAAGGAGGTGACGGAGGTTTCTCATAAACTTTAGAAGCTAGCCATCTCACGTACTCGGTCATGGAGTTTTGTTCTTGAATCCATCTTTCCTGGTCCGTCTTTGCAACCCGGCTATCTTTCGAGGTCATGGCACCTTTCGCGTCTTGATTTTGAGGTTTACTGGCAACATGACCATTGCAAAGAGAGGCGCTGATGAGAACTCCTTCATCTTGCTCCAGCCACTTCCTGCTGGAGAACTCGATGTTGTGCTTCGGCAACAGATCGTTTCCTCGCTGCAAGTCAGTCGACGTAGTCTTTGACAGGTTCTCCTCCCACTGAGACAGCGTCTGCTTCAGGTTTGCGCAGATTCGCTTCTGCCCTTCGATCCTTCTCTTGAGATCGTCGAGCATCTTGCATCCATTCATGACTTGCGCCTCCAGCTCGCCCGTCCGACCCAGCGAGTCCGAGTGGCTCTGTTTCAACCTCGAGAGCATGTCAGACATGTTCAAAGCCTCGTGAGCCAGAGCTGAGTCGTCATGCTGTGAGCTGGGGGACTGGAGGGTTTCTGACCTCCTGGTCTGTTGCAGCCACGTGCTGAGCTCTGCCATGTCCCTCGTGCTATCCATCATGGACGAACCTGTCGACATGTCCAGGTTGTTGCGGAAGAAGTAGCTCAGGCTCACGTTCGACTGCTCCTGCCCCGCAGCTGGGGCCACAAAGGCATGCACGGACAGCGAGAGGTTCAGCTCCTTGCCTTGCAACCTTGGATCATCGGCCGGCATCTCGCATGTTGTGAGCTCCGAGGTGTGGCAGAACGAGCGCTTGCAGCAAGCAGCCAACAGGGAGCTTCACTCCTCAGGAGAAGGGCGCGAGGACTCGAGGGAGTGTCCTCGCAAGGACTGGGCGTGACTTGGCATATGCTCCTGCAATGAACATCAGGTCAAGACCTCCCATCGCCTTACACGCGCACGGGCGATCGAAGCATCTCAAAACAGCTCCAACTCAAACACCAGCCCTCGTTCTACCACTCGACAAACCTCCCGCCCAATTCGTCAGTTCAATCTACATCTCCGCTATCAGCTCGGCATGAAGGCGTCTCTATCTTCTAGTCGAACGCTTCGTGTGAGATATTGACTCCGCAATTCAATCTGGTTATCTCTGCTCACGCTCAAACCACCTCCCGGACTCCGGTCTGTCTACTCTTCTTTCGCACGAGTGGCAGCATGAAACGGGATGCCGGGAAACCCGCCGAGCAGGAGGCAGGTGAGGGCACTTCAACTCTCTGAGAGTTCGCTGAGCGGCTGGTTGCCGGAGCGGAAAGGAGAGCAGCAGCAGCAGAGCACGGTCTGAGACTGAGAGGGGGAGCACCAGGATGGCGGTACTACCGTACCCAGTGAGCGGTGGGCACAGCCTTGTCCCTCCTGTGAGAGGAATAACCAGGGGCCTACCACTAAACCAACCGCGACTTTCTCAGTGAGCCGCCGCGTATGGTACGGTGACTCGCCGAGGCCCGGCCGGCGGATTCACTGGTTGAATTTTTACTTAATCTCCGGGCCATCGGAGCCCCGGAAAAAGTCTGTCGTTCAACTGAGGTTGTTTTAAAGCAGCGGGCTTTTAAAGGCTACACCTTCTTTTACCACCACCCCCCAATTCCCACGAGATACGTCGATTGGGCAGCACAGAGAGGGACGTAGCCTCAGGGTGGGTACTACCCCCGGGTGACAGAATGGGGGCAACCGAATCTGCAGATTGCAGGGGTGGGGGTCATTCAAACACCCGGTCAAGAACCTCTGTTGTGCATAGAAAGTAGGGGTAGATTGCCATGTGGGTGGGAAGGTCTCTTATCTTGTCCTCAGGGTCGCCAGCTCGAAATCTCTTGTTTTCGTGAAATTTTTGTAGACATCCCTTCTGTCCCTCCAGCAGACAGAGCCACCCTACCCCACTCCAGACTATGTTTTAAACTTCTTTGGTACATCACCGGGTATTTTGAAGCTTACTCTCAGTTAAATTGACCCCTACGCTCTGGCATGTTGTACCCTCCACCCCCACATTGGTTGTTGCATGAAACCGTATTTGTGCACGTCGTCGGGCAGCTCTCTCCTTCGGTACCACCCCCGTCCGCACTAACTTCTTCGAACCCTCTGCCACAGATCTGATATTCCTCGATCAAAATGATAAGAAAAAGCCGACTACTGCTCACCATGCGGTGTCGAGGCCTCGGGCCATCACGCTACATTCGATCAAATTCCACCGCTGCCACCCCAAACATTTTTGGAAAAAAAAAGAAATAAAACGGATAAAAAACAGATCTGGAGATTGCAGCATAGCATTCATATGCTCTACATCACATGGGGTCCATCCACTAATGCTCAACAAGAAAATTATCGAGAGGTGGAGGGGGGGGGATGGGAGGAGGTGTTTGAGCGGGGGTGAGGGCCTAAGACTCGTGAGGTTTACATTGCACTTTTAGCACGCTTTGATATGCTCCTATGACCGCTGTAGGCATATATCCAGTATCTCCATAATGATTCCTAATACCTCCCTATTAACCTAGAGGGGGCATTTGGTACCTTCTGATCTGTTCCTAAGACCCGGATACGGTGGGCATATCCCCACCATTCTTAGTAGTATCTTTCTAGGGCCAAGCTACACGCCCCAGGAGTGCCTTGTAAAAAGGGTTACGGCATTGCGTTTCGGAGATGGTGGGGTACTTGTCAATTGAGGGGTAGGGGTAATATAACAAACGCAGTGCACGGTTATCAGAAAGTCAAAATGTCTCGAAGGTGGGGAGAGTGGTACTTTTTCCTAGTTCCATATTCGAAGAAATGGGTAGCTTTATTGCATCGAGCGCTGTGGAAAAGAGCTGAACTCAAATAGGGGGGTGGGGGATGTCAAGCTCATGGGTAGTCTTCTGAATAAAGCTGATAGAGGGGTAGTATGTAAAAAGGGGGTCGGTAAGAATGTGAAAGCATTTATCAGGGTAGTAAAGTTGGTAGGGTGGAGAGCAGAAGGTAGGGTGGCAGGTAGATGACACAGATTCTAACCGGTGGTTGAATCTTGCCTAAACGAGCGTCTCTAGTAGGTAGGGTAGAAACAACCAGGGGTAGACTAAAAAGCGTGAGCTTTGTGGGGGGTGGGGTGAAAGAGCAGGGTGGGAGAGCGGGAGGGACACAATCGCCGTGGGAGAAGTCGGAACGAGGGCCACGGGAGGCTTGTGTTCGAAACGCCGCTAGCTTTCCTTGTGCAGCAAGTCGGAAGGGTCAGGAGGGGAAGCAAAGAAGAGTCTCTCGCCTTGAATCCAGCTGTTCGAACAGAGTTTCGTTGAGTTCACGTGTCGAAGAATTCTACGATGGCTTCCATCGCAGCTTTGTTAACATCCGACACACCAGTTTCGCCTTTAAATCATGAGTTCTGTTTTGCGTCTGGCATCCAGTCCAAACAAGATATCAAGCCAACCCCATCCACGTTCATTCTGAATGCTGAGCAGAAGAAAAATTGCGATGCAGAGGTTGCAAAACGTGAAATTGTACATCATTCGAGCGTTAGCGTCAACTATAGCGGGCATCTTCAGTGCCTGTCAGTCGACGGGATGCAAAGCTTTTCTGACATGCAAAGTATTGGTCGTAGAGCATCGACCATCAACAGGCGGTTGATGGAAAAGGAAAAGGGGAAACTCTCGGTCATTTTCCCTCGGAGGAAAATGGGGGAAGCATCGCGCAAGACAGATGCAGTATGGCTCAGCATGGAACTTGTACATTCCCTCTCCGATAGATCACTGCAAGAGGCAGCTAAGCATCTGGTACGTGATGAATTTTGGAGCATGCATCCTCGTGTAATGTTTTTGTTCAGGGCATCTCTGCCACTGCGTTGAAGAAAGCATGCAGAGTTCTCGGGATAGAACGATGGCCTTACTGCAGAAAGAGAATCCAAGATGGCGACTGCTCTTCGTCAAAGGATGCACAATCACCAGATAGTGCGACCTTCAATGACAATATCAACACAGAGTCGACACAATTTTCGGATACAACTTGTTTTGGCCCCGACGAAACTTTCCATAAGAACGCTGCTATTGTGCTGGAAGCTGCAAGGAAACTTCAATTTGCAGATCAAATGAGTCGGACCTGTTGATCCCATGTGTTGTATACCATACAGACTGAAGCCTTACCTTACCTGTCAATTAGCCATACACAGTGTACCCCGGGCCAACATTTCGACACCTCTCCCAAAGCCACAGCGTGAAATCTAAGCTGTGTCGCAGGAAAGGTTGTGCATGGGTGATCCTTACTGAAAAGCTAAGCGCTGTGTTTGGAATAAACATGTCAGTCTTATCAGTCTTGTCTTCTCGCTTCTCTCTCTGTACATATGCCATCCGAGTCGCATGCCAAAGCTTTTTGTTTATTGACTGAAAAAGAAGGGCAAACCGGAGCTTTTAGTCGCTAGACTAGTTCTGCAATCAAGTCCGCCTCAGGTGCTCCTTACAAGCCTTGCCAAGTTGGGTTGTTGCCCATGGCGCGAGTGTGTGGAGCTGGCTGGGCTTATGGCGGCAAAGGGCTCGCAGCCAGCGGTCACTCTTCATGGCGGTTGACAGAGACACGAGGACGAGGACGCGCTCTTAGCGCCATGCGCTGCAGTCTGACGCTGCCGACGGAGAAGAGTCTGGTCCTCCTGAGCGGAGGAGTGGAGTCAGTGACACTGATGCCCTTGCTGTCAGCTCGAATGGGGTCGAAGGTCTCCGAGACCCACCTGGTCCCTCTGTTTGTCGACTATGCTCAGAGAGGAGCAGAGATGGAGAGAAGAGCGAGCAAGAGGGTGTGCGACAGGCTGGGGTTGGAGCTTCTCGAGCTCGACGCGAGCAGGGTGGGACAAGGGATGCGGCTACGACAGAAGCAAAGGCTGCATGTCCCCGTTCCCCATCGCAATCTCTTTGCACTGTCACTTGCCTTGGCCATGGCCAACGTGGAGGGAGCGAAGAAGATGCACATCGCCATTCAGAAGGAGGACACGGACTGGTATCCGTCAGCCTCACGAGATTTCCTGGCAGCATCTAAGAGTATGGTTCAGCTCCTAGAGCCCCAGATCGAGCTCCTCACCCCGTTTCTCGACATGACGAAGCAGCAGGTGTTAGAGCTGGGTGTGGAGGTCGGGGTGGATTACAGCGGGACGTACTCGTGCATCCGGGGGGGGGAGAGGCACTGTGGGACATGCAAGCAATGCAGGGAGAGGAAGAAGTCTTTCGAGGAGGCGAGAATCCCTGAACCTCCTGATTTCTATGAACAATGAAGGAGAATGAACAATGAAGGAGGAGCCTTATATGACCTGCTTCGCTGAACCTGAATACCGCAAGCTGTTGGGGCTAACGATTGGAATCGCGAAAATGGTGTTGGACTTGACGATATTGCTGTTCAGCACATTTTTGCTGCACCACCTGACAAGGCATGAAATGTGTCAAAGAAGAGACGCAAACCATCAAGACTGTCTCACGGGCACACGAATGCTTTCGTTTCCACCAGATACGAAGTTGGTTTCGCGTAGAGGGGAGGGCTTTCAGTCCACTTGAATTGCTTCCGCAACATCTGCATGTAATGACTCCCGTAGAATTGTGCTGCCGAACAGGAGCAGGGTCATGCCCAAGGACGGCACATCAGCGATCATTGACTTGCCTATGGGATCCTTGGAGGTATCTCTTGCAAACTCTGAGGAAAGGTTCAGGACAACCTTGCAGCGGTCTCTCAGGGGCGTCACCGATGTTGGAGTCATGCTGCTGTTTGAAGTATTCCATGGAGTTGATTCTACAGATGTGTGAGATCGTGCTGGAGTCCAGGCTCGCTGTCATCTTCTCTGCCTGTGTGCGTGCGTTACATACGGGAGGCACCAACTTGATCCCTGACCGTGAAGAACTTCCGCTGACGCTGAGAGCAGACAGCGCAGTCCTCGTCAATCAGCGGGTGTACTCCTGCAGCCTTGGTCAGCCCCCATGGCAGGAGATCTGAAGACGGGGCGTACGATGCGGCGCCTCCGTGCGGAAGTACTGGATCACTCCTTCCGCATCCATCTCCTGCGAGCTGTCAGACGCTTCTCTACATCACGACTGCTCGACTGATTGAGGTCGGTGGAGCATGCAAGACTCCTCCTCGGTCAAGAACGTGCTCGGACCTGTGCATCCGAGTCAGAGAGATCGACGGGCTGAGCTCTCAGCTGACAATCAAAACAATAGAACGAAGCGGACTGGCTGCTTTGGCGAGCGGAGGCGACCCTCGGTCTGTCACGAAACCTGGAACGACCTTCAGACAGGCTTGCTGGTATGCAGATAAGCTGTTTGAGCGACTTACAACATCTGGAGGTGAAAGTCGAACGGGACTTTCTGTAAGTAAGTCAAGGCATGTTTGAATGGAACAGCTGTCTGCAGGAATACCGCTTTGCTGTCTTGATCGGCGAAATCGAAGCAAGTTTTGTTCCACACCACAGGGCTATGATCGATGAAACCAGTATTGAACCACAAACTGCAAATCTCGTAGAAAGGGCCAACTGAGAACTTCCTTCCAGAGATCTTTTCTTGTAGTCATTGACGAGAGAAGGATTTCAGAAGCAAGTATCACCACTACTTTGATGTCCCCCGCCATTGTTAAAAGCTCAGTCAGCGACATAATGAGATATTTCCGGCCTCCTTTCATCGACCCTGCATCTTTCCCTTTCGAAGACCTGCAGAAAGTTCACAAGGGCGGCGTCGGCCCTCACGCTCGCACCAAAGCAGCTGAAGCTCATTCTGATCTTGAGATTTCTTGCTGAACACGTTCAAAAGAAATATTTCAATCCTGATCTTGTTCATGTCCAAACCATCGCATGTCAGGCACAACTGCCGACTCTAGTGAGACCTGAATTTCATCCAAGCAAAGTCAACACCTTGCTAAGGTCCACTGAAGAGGGATTCGCAGCGAATCTGGTAAAAAAATATCCGATGTATCTTCGATGACAGTTGTATACAAATGCTTCGGCATCCTTCATTCTCATCTTTTCATAAAATTCAATCGCCTCCCTGACCTTGGAGATTTTCACACCTGTGCTCACAAGAACAAATTAAACTCACCGATTGGAATTCATTGGGCCATGCGTAAATCAGAAACGAGCAAATCATCAATCCTGTTCGGTTTCTTCCCGATGCACACATGATCTAAAGCAACTCATTCACACTTGATCTCTCGTTAAGCAACAGGCTAACCACAGCCACGTTATCGTCCTCAGCGTCGAGCCAAGTTTGAAGGTCCTTGCAGAAGCTTTGAATGCGAGAAAGCAAGGTGACCTGACGAGCGTCAGCAACGAGCGCGAGGGTTCAGCACCAACCTCCTTCTTGAGGAAGGCGTACTCCTGCGTGATCTTGCCGTTGAACTCATACGTTTTGAGGAAGGAAGAGTTTGTTTCCCCGTCCAGGTTGTAGAACCTGTCGAGCACTCGGTCATCCCACATCCCCCGCTTCGTCTCGGGATGCTATCACTTGGCTTTGTTCGGATGCTCCATCTCAAAGTACTGCTTGATCTCCTCAACAGAATCCTCTGCATAACGTGTTAAGCTGCATCAGCCCGCGTTGTAACTCACTCTTCATGAACTTCTGCAGCTTGTTGTCGACAGGGGTGGCAAGGGCGATGATGTGAGGGGTGATATACGCCATGTCGATGTTGAAACCGTTGAGAGTTGTTCTGCTCGTCATTCAGCATATCCGTGTTGAAATCCGTTCTCTTCACCTCATCTTCTGCCCTGCCCAGAGAGACTTGACTTGCGACCATGACCTTGGGCGCGATGCTGGTGCAGGGGCAGCGAGACTCTCCGAGGTGCCGTCTGCTGACCCTCCGTCATCACCGCTGCCTCCACCACGCGCCTCCTCTCAGACTTGTGACAGACCTTGAGGAGCGTTCATCTCGCCTTGAGACGAATCGTGGAGAGTGAAAGAGGAGCGCTGGCGCATGCTACTTGATGCCGAAAGTTCCTCGAACTTGCTTATCGACATCTGCCAGTGCAACGTCAATTAATTCACTTTCGTATCACCAGCCAAAAACAAACTCTTCATCACAAACTTTCCAACTTCTTCGTTCGGAAGTTCACTATGATTTACTTGGCACTGCAGTAGCGTTGTTGGTCCAACTTTGGTGCATATTCAGCATCATCTCTTGAGGACATGCTCTATGTAGCTCTATGTAGCTCTATGTAGCTCTATGTAGCTCTATGTAGCTCTATGTAGCTCTATGTAGCTCTATGTAGCTCTATGTAGCTCTATGTAGCTCTAGGAGGCTCTATGTAGCTCTATGTAGCTCTATGTAGCTCTATGTAGCTCTATGTAGCTCTATGTAGCTCTAGGAGGCTCTATGTAGCTCTATGTAGCTCTATGTAGCTCTATGTAGCTCTATGTAGCTCTATGTAGCTCTATGTAGCTCTATCTAGCTCTATGTAGCTCTATGTAGCTCTATGTAGCTCTATGTAGCTCTATGTAGCTCTATGTAGCTCTATCAGTGTAGCTTTATCATGGTAGCTCCGACGGCCGGCGGATGTAGCTCTAGGAGGCTCTATGTAGCTCTAGGAGGCTCTAGAGGCCTCTGCTCTCTCCCTCCCCTCCTTCATGTCAAGTTGGGCATGTCTGGTAGCAACCCTTGCCACCAGCAACTCCGAACATTTCCGTTACAGTTCCATATTGCTCGTAACCGTATTGCCAATGGTTTGCAACTGCGTCACTCAGTCCGGGCCGGCGGCCGTACTACCCGGCCGGTCTTACATTTGAAATAAAAATGTAGATTATCTGGATAATTTCAAATTTTGAAGAAAGCTTGTATTTATATGAAAATGTTTGCAGAAGTGGCCGGAACTTGGGTCAGGGTGGGTAGGGCGAGTGGGATATTGGGGGTGGTGGTGAAGGAGTGAAACCGAGGAGCGGTATGGCTGGAGGGTATCCCAAGTGGGTATGGTCGCCATCAGGCGGATGGCAATGGCAGGACGTGATGAAGCCGGTGAGTGGGATCGAGAGCTTCTCTTGTGCAAATTTGCTGAGCTCTGGGAAGCATAACTTGCTGGATGAGTGCGAGCGCATGCGATTTCCCCACTTGTCGTTTTGCCTGCATGCTGTTGGCTTGTGTTTCCTCTTCCTTCTCCGTGGGGGCAGCGGAATGCGATTTCACTTCTCAAAAATATCTGGACCTGTCACAGGCGATAGGTGCAGCTCTACCACGTGCTCACCCTGACTCTGCAGGGAATGCAAGGAGCACATAACAAGAACTGGGCTAGAAACACAGGAATTGCCTTGGCAGCTTCCTTTGCCTTTACTGCATATCTTTTCAACGTTTCTCGACAGATTGAGCAGAGGTACATGCTCAATGGCTGAGGAGGTTGTTTGTAACACGCCTGTGACAGGCCCCAAGAGCCCGTTAGGAAGATTCCATCCATCCACTGGTGGGGGAGGAAAGAGCTCAGGGACGCCTATCCTGACCCCAAACCCTTCTGAACAACTTCTTGTGTGCTTCCCTGTGGGAGCAGTTAGCACGTGCATGAAAAACAAACTCTATGACAGCGAATGGCCTCTGGCCTTCCAGGCTCCTCGTGCCCTGAACACTCTCGAAACACGGCAAGCTGAGATCACAAGTTTATTTACAGCACAAGATCTTGTTACAGTCATGCATCTTCCAGCAGAGATTGTGAGAGGTCATAGAGCGAATCCGGTGCCTGGATGAAAGCGCTCAAAATCACCGAGTGTCGGGCGGTGCACTGCCGCAGGCAGGAGTTGAGGCAGCCCTCCAGTCCTCGTTGCCTTCCCTTCTCATCACTGTCGTTTATGTTGGCGAGGGTGGATCTCTTGGGAGGAAGGACGACATCTGTTACCCCTCCATGTCGCTGAAGCAGCACCAGGAGCTCTGAGAACTGCGCGTACGTTCGACGAGCATCCCAGGTCAAGTCCGCCTGGGATGGCTTCTCTGTAGTTTGCACGTCGTCAAGGTTGGTAGGGGGAGAGATCCGGAACTGAAGAATGTGCACTTCCGTGCTCGCGAGAGAGCTTCCCTCCTCCCCGCTGTCAGCTCGTAGGTACTGGGCCATGACTCCACGGATGAGGCGCTCATCGATGGGAGGACGATCGGGCTTTTGCTCTGAGAGCCAACGAGGGAGGTTGTAGCTCGACCTCCGGTCCTTGCCCCACATCATCATCACTCCCTTGGCATCCCCCGTGAACATCTGGTGGCTGTCGGAAGAGAAGCTGATGCAGGTGATGGGATGCTGGTGGGATCGGCGGCACTCGAAGAGCAGGTCCAGCGCGAGGTCTGACGGCATGCCCTGCTTGCCGCTGAGGAATTTGGACCTGGCGAGCTTGGAGGGGACGAGCCGCCAGAAGCGGATGACCCCCGACTGGTGGCCGCTGATGATCACGGGGTACTCCACTGCCCACTCTGGCACCTGTCAGGTGGGATCAGGTGGAAGGGAGGCGAAGGAGAACAAGGGATGGGGCGAGAGGGCGAGGCTGAGAGAGGGAGGGAGTGGAATGGGAAGGGGGCGGGACGGCAGGGCAAGGGTGGGTCAGGGCAGAGCTAGGTCAAGGGAGGGAAGGAGAGGGGAAGGGGAGGGAAGGGCACGGGAGGAGCACGGGAAGAGTGTAAGGAAGGGGAAGGGGAAGGGGAAGGGGAAGGGGAAGGGAAGCCAGAAATTCTGCACTTACCCGGACAGCCTTGGACGTGGTGACTGCGTCGCCATCCTCGAGCATCACCTTGCTCGCCAACATCCTCCCGTTCAAGTTGACCAGTCGGATCTCCTTCCCCGCTGAGATGACGACGGTCGAGCCCGTGGGATTCAGGTCGATGCAGGTAGGCGTCCCCTGCAGGCCACGAGCAAGGGGCCTCAAAAACCTGAGCCGGTAGGTATCCCAGAGCAGGACTGTCTTGTCCTTGGAGCCGGACAGGATCACCGAGTGCATGCTGGAGACGTGAAGGCAAGTGACGGAGCCTCTGTGCCCGCTCAGCCTCTTCCTCAGGACCAACTGCTTCACCTTCACCTCCCCGTGTCCTCGGATGCTGTTGATGCCGACTGCTACCCCGCTCTTTGCCCCCCCAATGGAGCCTGCGGGTTTCACCTCCTTGAACTTCCAAACGCAGATATCCCCCAGCCTCCCACCGGTGACGATGATGCTGCCGTCATCGCTGCTCGATGCCGACATCACGCCATCCTGGTGGAGGTTCTCAAACGTGCCCACCTGCTTCTCCGCCTCCGCCTTGGTCAGAGTTGACCCTGACTTGACCGTTAGCCGCACACTCCCGTCTGGGAAGCCCCACAGGAGAAACTCGTTCTGCGACGGAGCAAGCATGATCCTGTTCCCCGCCACGACGCTTGGCTTGCTGTCTCCCTGTGCCCGCACATCTCGGACGATCCCTTCCCCGGTCCTCAGGAAGTCCTTCAACGGTTGGCTCTGCAGCGTCGAAGGCTCCGTGCAGATCTGAGGAGGAACGATGGCAACTCCCGGCTCTCGTCTCGGATGAGGTTTGGAGAACAGCTGGGTAGGAGTTTGCCCGAAGTTCAAGATCTGCGCGATGGTGCTCATTCGCTCGACCGGATCCTTGATCGCGTCCACATCGACGGCGCCCTCGTACGTCAGGTGGTGGAAAACATTCAGAGCCTCCACTGCTGCTGGTCCCCGCTGCCGATAGCCGAAGATGAGATCGATCCACTCGTGAAGGTGGGAGGAGACATACTCGCTCTCCAGAGCCTGGAGGGACAGGGAAAGTAAGTCAACCTCACGCAGGAGACGAGAGCACGGAAGGATGGAGTGAGGGGAGGGGCGATGAGGAGGAGGCAGAAAGACACACAGACGGAAGGAAGGAAACAAGAAAGGGAGACAGACAGGGAGGATGAAGGGAGGAGGGATGGATGGAGGGACCGAAAGGCTGAGGACCTGTCGCATCTTCCTGACAAACTCGTCGGAACTTCCATGAGCCCATGGAGGCAGCTCGACACAGTCCAACCTCGTGCTCCTTTTTTGGCGCACCCCCAAGTCAAGACGATTCTCGTTGAGCAGGAAGTCAGGCAGGTAGTAGAATTCGGGAATCAGCTCCTTCACATCCGACAGCGACAATTGCGAGGCGCTGTCCCACGACTCCCGCACGGAGGCGAAGATCCTGTCGGCATGGTCGAACTTCCCTCCCTGCAGGTGCACGTGCGCGCTGGTGAAGGGCTCGAGCCTGATGAGGTAGAACATGACGGCTGCAGCGGAGGAGTAGTGAGTGGCGTAGTGGAAGGGAGGCGTTGGGTGCTCGGGGTCGGGCTCCAGCCAGTTGTCAAATCTCTTTCTGTACTCTGCGGCTCGAGCCTCGTCCTGCGCTCCCATGGGCTTCGAGAGGTCGCGAAAGACCTCAGGCCGGGAGAGGTCGAGCTGGTCGGAGGAGTAGTCCCTGAGAACCCAAGGGAAGATGGGATACTGGGTGAAGTCGTTGTAGTTGCGGCCGGCGAGCGTGTTGAGGTGCATGAGGTACTGCAAGTTGCTGATCTCCCCCTGTTGCCACAACCGCCTCAGGTTCTGCAGGAGAGTCTTGGAGGATGTGCGACCGGTCCACCTCCCCTGGACAAACTCCAATCAGAGGCACAGGAGAGGAGCTGAAGCGTTCCACAGAGACAATGCAGGAAGAGAGATGATAGTGGAGAGCAGGAGCAGGAGTATGGGCGGGTGCAGGAGCAGGAGCAAGAGGATCAGGATCAGGAGCAAGAACAAGGAAGGGCAGGAGAAGGAGAAGGAGAAGGAGAAGGAGAAGGAGAAGGAGAAGGAGAAGGAGAAGGAGAAGGAGAAGGAGCAGCAGGAGTATGTGTATGTAACCTGAGCAAGCTCTGTCATCTTGCTAGAATCCTTCAGGTCGAGGTCGGCTTCCCCCATGGCGATGTAGATCGAGGTGTTCTTCTTGTCCTCGCTCTGCACTTCGTTCCGGGCGATGACCTCCTGCCGCAGGTTGCAGACGCTCTCGAAGACCGTCTCTCTCTCTGTCTTGTGGAAGACGAGGAGGCAGCCCAGCCCGTCCGACGTGAAGATCTCGATGCCCACAGGTCGCAGGAGGTACTTGCGACGCTGGATGTCCCGGATGTCCATGAAGCTCCACCGATGTACCATGATGCTCTCAGCAAACCCGTGGTTAGGAGCATCGCCCGGCTCCTCCCCGCCCTCCTTCCGCTCGCTGCCGTTGAACATGGAGACCTCGCCCGTCGGGGAGACGTTGCAGTGGTCGAACACATAGATGTGGATGGAGCAGACCAGCAGAACACCAGGGACGGGGACGCCAGAGGAGAGCCTGATGCAGTTGAAGACGGACAGGATGGTGTCTCCACCCTCCAGGAGCCACAGGAATTTCTCGTGATCGATGAGGTTCGAGTCGCTCGAAGGGACCCCGTCGCTCGAGTCAGCCCCGAGCAGCTTCGAGAAGTCACCGCTGATGAGGTGCGACATGATTCCCCCATGGTTCCGACGAGGCACGGCCTCGCACCGCAGCTTCGCTGTGATCGGGTCCGGCTCCAACTTCTCCTCCTTGGACTCCCACTTCCCCGACTTGACTGTCGTCTCCTTCCTGAACCTCTCCCGGACGGGCCTGTAGAGGTTTTGCTCTTCATCCATAGCATACCTGGGGTTGTTCATCTCCAGCACGTCTACTTCCAGCCTCCTCCTCATCCTTTGAGGCCCTTCGGTCTGATCCAACCTCCACCACGGCGACCTCTTCCTTTGCGTGACGATCGCATCCTTCCTCAGGCGACCAGTCGAAGGCTGAGCATCCGCTCTTGCAGCTCCAATATTCCAGGTGACCACTGAAGGAAGGTGACTGAAACTGACTCTGCTCGCAGGAGATCTCCTGAAGCCCAAAGTCAGCCGAGATTTCGCCACCTCCTCAAGCGCTTGAATCGCTTCCAACTCTGCTAGTGAGCCCTCCAGAGAGCAGTAGGAGTGACCGAAAGTCCCGCACTCTCCCAGCAGCTCCTGCTTCTCATTCTGCCATCCTTGCATGGTGTGGGCCGACTGGCTCTCAAGGTTCTGGAGCTGACTCCGCATCCTCATGAACCATTGCTTCAGCGCCTGCTCCCTCGCTGAAGTGCCAGCGTCAAACAACTTGGACAGGATCTCCTTGCCTTCCTTCAGCTGCTTCCTCCTCTTGTTCGACCTTTCGATCTTGTTCTTGTACTGCTTCTTGTGCACTTCCGCATGATACTTCTGCTCTCCCGTCAGGTTTTGGGAGCGATACTTGTTTGCATTGTCATTGATGATCGTCAAGACCTGAAAGAAACGAGAGGACTTGTCTTGCGCAGACAAGCTGATTGCAGCCTTCTCGACCGGAGAGGGTTGGAGGAACAACCACGACTCGAACTTGGCGACGTTTTCAGCCGGCAGTTTCTCTGTCGTGTCTGTAACCTCGTCGACTTGTGTCCTGAGGAAGACGAAACCTTCAGAGGCCAACGATTTCACAACACCAGAGCCATCGACGTAGGACAACAGGCTGCCTAACGAGCTTCTCCTCACGCTCAGGAAGTGCGACCAGATGCGGAAGGCGTTGTGCCTCACCGATGTGTTGGGGTCAGCGAAGAGAGGAAACAGCAGCTGGCAGGTCAGGAAGACAATGATAGAGTCGTTATTGGAACTTCCGTAGATAACGTTCCTTTGCTCGACGATCGCATTCAGCAAACTTATCAGCTTCTCCGACGAAGTCTTGAGCCGTGAGAGCAAGTGGAGGACCAGCCTGTTGAGCTCCTTGTACAAGGGCGAGATGAACTTGTTCAGGATCAGCCAGGTCTCTTGCTGTGAAGTCTTCTCAAACTCCAGGATGCGTCGGATGAGGCTCGTGAGGAATTGGAAGACCTCCCAGTGCGAGATGTCATACATGTCTGCACAGACATGGTCTACAACGAACTCAGTGAAAGTGAGAACACGCTTCATCAGGTCAGCTCCTCCCCCGCTGACCTCGTTCTGACTGAAGTACAACAAACCGCACATGCGGGAGAGGAGGGCTCCTCCGAAGCATCGCTCGCTCGGCTCCGACGCTGAGACCGGGATCGACTCCAGCGCTGTCTGGATACAGAGGGCACCACCTGCCTGACCTCGGATCGAACCTTCTAGGAAGCGGCAGAACATCTGGAACAGCATCTCTCCAGCTGGGGTGTAAAAGTTGATGATCCCCCCAGCAGTCGCTGATGATCCGGGAAGCACCGGCTGGTACTCCAGCTCGCTCGCTCCGTGATCTTCCGCGTCTACGAAGTCATCCTCCATCACACCTCCCAGGTCCTCCCATCCCTCCTCCATCGTCCCCGCGTTGTTGTCGGAGGCCGAGCTGACCCTGTTGAGCGCCTGCTCCTTCTCCGGCGAGCGTATCCTCAAGAAGCTTCCCAGCCGCTTGATGACCTTGCCTGTCACACGGGAGACGGCTCCCCCAACACCCTTGAGATCTTCTTCGACGGTTTGGTCGTCGTCTTGCAAGAAGAAGCTACGAGTCATGCTCTCTAAGGTGTCTTCCGAGTTCCTCATGTCGGCAAACGACGGGCAATGATCGTTGAGGTACATCAACGCCTGGATGGTGTCACAGTTGATGCGTGAAATCTCTTCCAGACTCCTCTCGCTCATTTCCACTTCCCCAGTACAGGATTGTTTTGCGGCTTCCGCTTCGGTAGAGTCCACTGAGACTTCACCACTCAAGACGCTCTCGATCAGATCATCGACAATCCCAAGCACGAGGTCGATGCTCGACTCAAACTCCATCTCTGAGCGAGCAGCTGGCTTGGACGGGGAGCGCTCGAACGATCTGTCATCCGCATTGTTTGAACGGAAAATGTAACTGGACCCATCATACTCCGAGGTCCTCTCCAGCTCAAGCTTCATGTTCTTGTTGAGGAGATGCAGCAGGATGTCGAAGGCCTCCGGCACTACAATGAGGGTCAAGTCGAACCTCGAGAAACAAGACGTCAAGTTGGCTGCGCTGTAGTCTGCGTCGCACCAGAAGGACCGGCTCGTCGACTCATTTGCAAACATGAGCTGCATCAGTGCGCTGTAAATCTCCGGAAATTGATAGAATTTCGATAGAGAGTCCTTGACCAGGGCGAAGAAGAAAGATGCTCGGAACTTCTTGCAATAGAACTCGTTTCTCCCCATCATGACTATCAGTATCTGGAGAGTATCATCAGAAGAGGAGCAAGATGATCAAGAGGTCTTACCTTGAGCAGGGCAAGAACGCTACTTCTCTTCCTGCTCTGCTGGAACAACAAAGCAAACCACATCGGCTTCAACACGGTGCAAAAAACGTTCAACTGCTCCTGTTCGAGCTCGTTGGTAAGTCTCAAGAGCATCTGGATCAACGTGTCTGACAGCTCGCAAAGCTGAGCGAACCCGCCTGACTGTGAAGAATCCGGTCTTCCTTCGCTGGACTTGGATATGACGATAAGCTGAGCCACCAGGTTCAAATCTGCGATCGTAGCCGGCTGCATGCTCTTGAAGTATCCTTCGAGAACCGAAACAACACACTTGACGGTGTCACAATCGTTGTTGGTCTGTGAGAGGTAGGAGCAGAGAAACGGGACGAGGTCGATGCTCTGAAACAACATGGCGTTGCACTTCCTCCTCGAGTTGTTCTCGAAAAGATTCTTAAGCTCCTCAAAGACTCGAGCAGAGCAGCGACGGTCCGCCTTCCTCCACAAGCGGTAATCAAGGATGAGATGCTTGCAGACCTCTGCGTTGGCGAGGATCCTGTCGCTTGTTCCGATCATCCCTGCAAGACACAAGAGCTCTGACACGATCTCCTCGGTCAAGAGGTGGGCATTCCGTTGCAAGAAATGGCTCAGCACAGCATAGCCCTTGATCCGTAGCATGTCGAGCAGGTTCGCGATGTTGGACCATAAGACGTTGGTGATGAGCTGGAGGAGTCGCAGCAAGTCGTTGGAGGTCGTCACTGTCTCGACAAGGGCCACGACTACTCCGATGCCTCCGATGGAGCGGAGAGAGTCCGCAATGGACAAGGAAGTCACGACGGACGCGTCTCCCCGCAGCCAGCCCCCCTTCATGTTGGGTCTGATCATGTTGCGAACCACGTCTGAGCTCTGAGATGTCGTGAATGCCTCGCGTGCCCCTTCCAGAGAGAATTCGTCGACGTCTCCGTCGCAGAGCAGACTAGCAAAGATGAGCTTGTCGATGGGCAACTTGCAAGACCGCAGACTCTGCGTGAACACCTTGCATGAATCTCCTACGGAAGCGACAGAATATCTCCAGGCAGTGAGCATAGAAGTTGAAACATCGCCTTCAGGGACGTCCGACTGATACAACCCCTGGTAAGAAACTCCCCATCGATACATCGACTGTATAACGTCGGGAAGTATCGGCTCCTCGATGATCATCACTCCCTTCATGAACCACTCTGTCAAACAAGGCGGCTCCGGGTTGGAGTTGTTCGGCATTCCCAAGAAAAGAGTGAGATCCGCAGACGAGTTTGACGTCAGCAGCTCCATCACCGAAGATTGTCTACCTGACTTCAACTTCCCATCGTCCCGAAGTTGACCGTTCACGAACAAGGACGCGACGCTCGACTGAAGCTTGTGATACTCGTGAACGATGACGACGTGATACCATTTCTTCTCCAGAAATCGAAAGTTGTCGAAGCAAATCTCATCCGTTCCTCCGACCTCTATCGACATACAGCTAGCCTTGTGCTTGTTGACGAGCACTGAAATACAGTGCATGCGCGAAGTTCGCTTGATCTTTGCGCTGATATGCATAACATTGAGCACTCCTTTGCCTTGTTTTTCTATTCGGATCCAGAAAGCCAGCGCAAAACCAGCTGACGGTGGCCAGGATATGTCGGCTGAGATCGGGATCTCAGCGCTGGCAAACCCATCGATCTCCATGGAGAATCGCAACAAAGAGGAGGAGACCATGTTCTTGGACATCTCCACGAGGACGGGAAACAAACGACTTCTTACATGCTCGTTGGACTCCTGGCTCAACGAGAAGAGTCGCCGAGCATCGTTGGGGTGCACGTAGACCGATCCCAAGACAGCGATGAGGTTCATAAGCACGTCGAGCGCCGTTTCGTCCTTGCTCATCCATTCGTGCGCAATCTTCAGAGAGTGCTTGATTGCTCCCTTCTGCAC